TTGGAAGGGTTCCTTAATTTATCCTTCGGACAGGATCTCCCAGTATAGGTATACCTATCTACGAAGAAAGTGATCGATACGCCAAGTAAGAAGGGTTTTTATCAGTATGTGTGTGTGACTTTCGCCGGGGTACGGCTCAACTGCTCTCGGAAACATCAGGTGCGGTGAATGGCTGGCGGCACTCCACGTCCGCGCTGCACATACAACACTGTATACATATAACATAGTACAATAGTCAATACACTCTGCGGCAATGAATGCGAACGCCGGGAAGCGAGGCAACGTCGCACAGACCCGTAAGGATTACGTTCCACTTTTATACATTTTTATTTTTATTTGAATACCACCTAGGACTTGAAGGACTGCGAGCTAGATGCGTCTGCCTAATTCTCGTATAATTTATTTATATTTTATATATAATAAAATTCAGTAATTTTACCTAACTTACCTACTTACTTTAGCTGTGCTTAAACACATTTATATACCTACCTATTTTTTTGTTATACTATAAAAATAGATTATGTCTATACTAATATATAAAGCTTTGTTTAAGAGTTTGTTTGTTTGTTTAATCCCAGGAACTACCGTTTCGAATCGAAAAATTCTTTGTGTTGGTTGGAACATTTATCGAGGAAGGCTATAGGCTATAAAACTACACAAATTATTACTACTAATACAAGCGAATGAACAGCGAGAAAAATTGAACAAATTTAGGGAGTAGTAAATTATTCACATTATAGGTTTCCGTATTTGAAAGATGTTTAACTTCGGCCCGACTTGCTTTGCAGCAGCCGTGGTCACGGGGAGACCCCGGGCCCCCGGCCCGGCGCAAAACGGTTCAAGATAAATGAAGTGCAAAAATTAACAAATTGGGAAATCATAAAATAATGGATTTACGCTCTTGATAAAAATATCTTAAAAAAGTCTCCACGACGTTATATGTCTATATTTTAAGATTAACTTGCAAGAACGACGGGAAGGAACCCGACCGACGTCGTGGGTAACAACAAAGACGATTTTGGATGCCAAAAATAAATATTCTTAGCGGACGCAGTCGCTGAAACAGGTACTTAAAAATATAGGTAAGAGTTGTAGACGTTGACTTAATGATTTTGCCACTAACACCAATAAGTAGCGAACAGAGCCAGGTATCGACGTATACTATAACTTATTAATAGTAAGGTTAGGCTGCTGACTGTCGTCGGCATGTGTACTTACATTATTTTTGACTACACTATATATATAAATAACTGGAGAGCGGCCGAACCGAGTTACGGTGTAGATAAGTTAGAAGTGGGACGCGGACCTAAATTGTTTTTAGCGGAGTTGACCGCGTTCCCGTGTGACATCATCTATTAGAATTTGGATTCTCCCTGAACCGCAGTCCGCATCCACAATATCGCAACGTTTCCATAACTCCTATGACGTGCGATGAAGTACTCACACGAATAATTCCATTCCTACATCCATTAGTGTTTAAATATGTACTTTGTTTCCGATCCGTCTCGCACGCTCCATGATCACAGAATCGTCTGTTCATAGATCGGAAGACCTACTGCGTCGCCGGTCCTTGGGGTCTGATAATAAGAGCATCTATGCAACAAAAGCCACGACCGTGAGTGAAGTATTATAGGTGTGAGTTTATCGTGTTCACAGTGGAAACGCACGGGTCTCGTCGGCCGGCGTAAATGGAAAAGCGCATAACTTTCACATTCGTTAAAACACGCCAGTAACGAGTTCGCATCGGGTCTCGCGCGCCGAGCGCTTCGAATGCGCCTTTCACGCGCGCACCGGAGAGCGGGTCGATAGAGCGGCGTTGCCGCGTCGCCGGGCACGCCACTTGCGGTTCTGTTTATTTTTACTGTTTGTTGCCAATCAATTACGCGACGGAATAATGACACCTGCGATTCGCTCGGCGCGTCTTAGCGAATCTCTAAGTATTTCTCGATCGCTTCACTTCTCTCGCTCGCCGTTTAGTGTATTTTTAATGAACATCAATGCCCTCAGCGCGAGCGCCGATGATGAGTTGTTGATTCGTCAAAAATCAACAACGTAAATGAACGGCCATCGCAAATTGACCGGGCTAGCTCATACCTACTTATCTAATTGTTAAAACGTACGTGTACGACACGACATAAAGCCTTCACCGGCGTCGAAAGAAAAAAAACACCGGAAAAAAGGAATCGCAAAAAGCAGCAGTTCAGGAGTTACTCTCTACCGTTTTCTACTCTTCTCCTCTTAGTATACTTATATGTATACAGTTGGATAAGAAGACAATCTATGGACCGATCACAGTAGGCTAAGAAATTAACGAATACACGATCGAGCCTTAATATCGTATTTTGCAATGTTTTTTAAACAAAGTTTAAATTGCTAACATTTTGGGCGCGTAATTTAAGCCTTTCTAGTCTTAATTTACCTTTATTTTAAAATTGCACCCGAAAAAGGAAATTTATGAGACGATTTTGGACATCTCAGTGGAAATAAATAAATTATACTTCTGCTCTGACTTTATACCCTTCCATATGTAGGCGCCACCCTGAGTCTTTTTCGACTACATACAGCGTACGATCGCATTATTCTGTTTGTTTTGAATTGTGCTCCCTAAATAGGTATTATGCTAGTAATGTCCCTTAGATAAGGCTTTTTAAAATATTTTAGATTCAGTTCGTGTTACATACCAGTTTAGACAGACAATAATGCGAACTATCGATTGACAACTTTTCTAATTCTAATTAATGAGACCGAATCGGTTTTCACTCGTTTATTATGTGTACGATGAAGTAATACAATAAATTAGACTAACTTAAAAACTATTCGATTCTTTAAAATGTACTTAGATATACGCTCGAGGCACCATTATGTGCTATGTCTATATTCGTCGTTCTAAGGAGCAGTCCGTGTGGCAGCAGTGTTGTTTCGTCGGGCCTGTGAGGTTATGTAAGTGGAGGGGTGATCGTGGGGAGGTCTTTGTAAGCGGCCCGGCGGTGGGGGCGGCGGTGTCCGCGTCTGTCCGACCTGGAACCGGCTCGGTGGGACTATCAGGTCCTGACGAGGCGGCATCCCTGGAATTATACAATACTTCTTCAGCTGAAACGTCCTCTCTCGTCACTCTGTCGTTTAAGCGTTACAAGAAAGTGCTACTCGTTCAAAGAAGGGATGAACCTCGGTCGATTTTTAGAGAAAATCGATTTTGTTCACTTCTCAAGTGATAAGATCGACCCAGAGCCGTTCAATTACAACTTACGTAAACCCGGCCGTCTTATTTTTTCCCAATAGAAATATTATTATCGTACAAAGACAAAAGATTCTCATAACTCACCCTCAAAACGATGTTATTTCCTTTTATAAAGTGTGCGTTCCCACGAATTTAGAAACTCTTAAAGTAGTGCAATTCGCTCCCGCCCTTAATCGATCCGAGAGGACCTGATTACTTCTGGAAAACGGTTATTTGAACGAAATTATGCTCTTATGCGTTTCATATCATGTCAATATGTTTTTAAACTGAACGAAGTTTATCTCCAGATAGCATATCTGGCTTATCAAGCTCAAAGACTTCACACAAATATTCTAGCGAACAATCTGTAAGTCGAGTTGATAAAACAATTCATATCTCTTAACACCGATGCTCATACTTTTAGCCAATAGCCGAAAAATAGATCAGAGGGCATTGAGCGCCTTTTAATGCTATATATAAATAATTAGTACGCCCAGTATATAGTCATCGTAAAAAGGAGGTACATTTAAACAAAAACATCTCACGATATACTTAAGGTATATCTTCGCTATCTATTGATTAGGAAACTACATATTAAAGCGTTGAGATTACTTTCTTATTAAACAACATTTTAATAGCCGGCCATGTAACTGTACATTTAGAGGACAATTTCGTACAATAAACACCAGCTTTAGCTTTAATTTTGTGTTGTAATTATTTTAATCACTCGTACATTAGAAATGAAGCAGGAATTAAGTAGGTTACATTTGACCGTTTACCCATGTGCTGCAGAACCCGGTTCGTGATAATAGATGAAATTTCTAGTGAGCTATGACTGCTATCGGTGGTTTAATCCCAGAACAGTTGTCAAATGACAAATTAATTTTATACTATAATACTACTTTTTATAATCAGTAATATAGACCTCATGTTTTCTTTACCAAAAAACTGAACTGTGCAGTTATAGGTACTTTACAGAAGAACTGAAAAGTATATTGTAAAGTGTATTGTATAGGTAACTGCTCAGTTGGTATACATTTGAACATTTCACCATTTCCAATAATTCAGTTTGACAGTTGAAGCATTGTTAGACAGGTAGACACTATGACAGTTTAGAAATATTTAGGCAGTGTTGCCATGTTCAGGGCTCGGTTTCGCTGTTTGCGAAATATTTAATATCTAGACAGCACTTTGGCTCAATTATATAAAAGTTCCGAATCCATTGCAAAAGAGGAAAATCAATGCCGATTATACCCTCATAAAGTTGACGTGATTCACTTTGTTATTTTATATTTTTTATATACATTATCATATATTTAAAAAATAATTTGTTTTTGGATTTCTCATCAATGTTTGCTCGTAATGATCTGATGATCAAAAGATTTTTACTTATTTTTAAGCTTTGGTGGTTTTAAGAGTCGAGTCCATTGCAATGCGAAACGTGACGTTCGTTGGCAACACCGTGCACCACTGTCATAGAAACGATGAAATTTCTACCAAGTACCATTACTAGTGTGAACTCTGAAAATATTAAGTGAGTAAATATAATGACTTCTAAGTTTTAACGTCTGTAGTATATTCTTTGGTTTTAATTTTCTCGCCACTGTATTAAAAGCTCGAATTTTAGAAACTTCGTTAAATTCAGTATTAGTGGCAAATCGATCAGCGACAAGTTATAGCGAGAGTCTGAGTTATTTTATTTGGCCGCAAACAAAACCACCATAATACGAGTATACGTTTTATTTAGAAACAGAGCTCAATTGCTAACCATAGACGTTGCACAATGGACCAAAGTAATGAAAATAGTCGTGCTCAAATATCTGGTGCTTTGATGCCTGCCAACGATCGTGTAACGCCAGGGGTTGGTCTTCCACGCGTGAGGAATTTACAGGTAATTATTAATTAATTTATTTTATATGTATACTGTAACTTCACATCATAAATTTCTATTATGAACTAAGTTTTACTTAACAAAGAGAAAGACATCATCAGTATTTTTGATGTTTGGCATATGCGTAATGTGTTATGAAATAGTAATGGACACCGTCTATTGCTTCATCACAGTATAGATCAGTGATTACCAAAGTGGTCTATATCAACGTCTACGGATCTATGACACAAAAAAGTTTGGGAAACTCTGGTATAGATGCTCAAAATAAAAGAAAACATTACGACTGCAAAAGAAATTACTTATCCTACGTTGCCTTCCATCTACCTATCTATCGTCTTTTGAATTTCTATATCTTTATGCTGTTTGCATCTTATTTTATTTTTATTTGACAGGGTCTTCTAAGATTTGCAATGGAAGCAACAAGAGCTGAAGATGCACCAGGTGAATCACAGTTTGGACCAATGGACGAAGAGGTAAGCGAACTTGACAATTAGACTGCACTGGACCCAGTAAAGATTTTCCCTGGTATAATTTTATATTGTAAAAGCCTAACATACCTCTTAAGCTAAAACTTACTAGGTAACAAATATGATTTCAGAGACGGAAATTTCTTGAACAGGCTCTCAAAAGTATTACCGTGAACATAGCTGAAGTTTTACAAAATGCCATTAGAGTCCTCACAGATGTGGAGAAAATGAAGAGTATCCAACTCGGTGAAGAACTGCCTGAGGATGTGGTTACTGCATTTGAAAATATATTGTCATATATTGACGATTTGGATGTCGCCAATGGTAGGTTGTGGGCTAAATTGCTTAATGTACAACGTGTGATTTAACTCAACACATCTGCACCAATTTCAATATTTTCTTTTCCTGACATTTGAAAAATTGGGTTCATGGGTAAACGTTTTTATTCCTAATGATAGAGAAGGACAGACTTGGGGTTCCCTTGATGGTAGGTCATATACGCCGATATATTGGCTTTGTGGATTCGGAAATCTACAGACTGAAACCAAAACTTAATTAAAATTTCACGGCTTTTTCATCTGTTGGCGATGTTTCGTGATCCGAAACGTAATAGAAATTTCTATTATTTTCATTTCCTTTCGGTGTGTTATACTTACTAACTTCCCGCCAAAGTAACATATTTGCACTATTTAATCTCTGCTTTTGATAATTTTCAGATTTTTACAAAGTGGGTGGTTTTGCCATATTCCCTGTCTGTTATGGAAGTGAGAATGAAGAAGTTAGAGGCAGAGCGAGCAGGGTCCTCGCAGAATTGTGCCAGAATAATCCATTCTGTCAAGCCCGAGCACTAGAATGTGGCCTACTCAACATTATTCTTCATATGCTCACAACAGAGCAGGGTCCAGCACTGGCCAAGTGTGTGTCTGCTATATCAAGTAAGTATTTAATAATTTTGGCCCTTTTTAAAACTTAATTCAAAGTATTTGCATACACTAGAATTACATTTAATAGTGATGTAATAAGCAAAATAGAAAGTAGTTAAAGTCATTAAAATGGAGTTTAGTGAGATTAAAAGTTGAGCTGAAAAATATAGATTTTTATTTGGTTGAATTGAGATACTTTACCAATCTCGATATTTTGAGCTATTCGACCGCCGTTTTTGGGAGAGGAAATATCTCCATTACCCATGAAGCTTCCTTGAATTTTATAAATAATTGAAAACAAAAATCTATTTAGATTAAAAGATTAGATAGTTTGATATGTGGGTTGTTTTGTGTGCACTACTGTTAAACTAATAATTAAATTTTCGCCTTTCCATATTCTATACTAATATTACATACTCTGTAACCCTTTTACTTCAAAAGATAATATATACTCTGTGATGTCTCTATCATACAATAAATACTCTGATTTCTGGGTACAACGAGTGTAATAGTTTCATTTTAATTCCCTTAATACGTCAAATGCAGGTGCCACCAGAGAGTTCGAGCCCGCCTGCCGAGAAGTGGTCGTTCAGGGCGGGTGCGAAGCTCTGTCGCGGGTTCTGTCCAGCTCGGATGACGTTTCCGCTAAAACCCGAACTGCTTTTCTAATGACGTATCTTTGCCATCACTATCCGCCGGCGAAAGGTACGTCTAGCATGCCTATCCCTGAGTACTTCTATCGGCCTATTACAATTTTGTAATTTGTTTTTAGAAAAGTTCATCGAACTCGACATCGTAAAGGTGATCGGCGAACAGCTGAGTAAAGGCAGAGACGAGGTAACGGAACACCTCCTGAGCATACTCTTAGCGCTCGTCGAAGACCCGAGAGTAGTTAACCAGTGCCAGAACTCATGTCGCGATCTCCAAAGCGCTATAGAGACGATCCTCAGAACGCCCGAGTTGGAATCCTTCCAAGAAGAGAAACAATACTGCCTAGCCATGTTGAAGGTACTAGAAAATTGCCCTCGAGCAGAGGGAACGCAAAGCGAAGCCGACAGATAAGAAAAATATGTTTATTGCTTAATAAAGAATTTGCACGTTTCAAACTTTGTATAATATAATTGGTCTCCAAATCGACAAGTTACTGTGCAGTTGGGCCTCGAGGGCTATAAAGCGCGTTTTGCAAATCAGCCCTCTTCCAGTCGAAATCGATGCCGGTGATCTCCTCGAACCATTCGTGGTAGTAGCCGGGACGCACGTAACCTACGAATCAATTGTTACTTTATTTATTACAACATCAATGACCGATCTTTTTATTTAAAAAAATGCCTCGTGTCACCTGAAGGAAACGGCGAGTTACAACCGGACCTCGATCCAAAACTGACGATGCCGACCATGGTGGGTTTGCCGTCTTCGTCCAGTTCAGTCAGCGGACCGCCGCTGTCTCCCTGCAACGACACGAAAAATAATTTCAACTGCTCGATTAGGCGACAGGTATGTAGCCCGACGTGCCGTCCGTCGCTATCGAGGATGACCCGCACCTGGCACGAAGACTGCGCAGTGTCGTTGTAAGACTCCGCGCAGAGGGTCTGCTCGGCGAGGGCGGTGCTCCTCGGGTACCAGAAGCGGCACTCCTCGTAAGTGATCCCCAGCAGATACACCCACCTCAAGACCTCGGACGCTGCACCACCTGCCCAAAAGTAACCGACATCGAGTGAGTAGTCCTTCGACCTCCGTTGCGGACCGTAGCGAGCATCGAGTTACCGTTGACTCTGTCGTCCGTGAGCCCGAAGCCGCTGACGGTGAGCCTCAGTCCTTTGTAGTCGCGGGCCTTCTCTTCGCTGCTTTGCAGGCGCACGGGCTGGACGGTCGCTGCGGACAGAACGATCACTTCAACCTCTTCGTTCGACGACGCCGATGTACCGATTCATATGAAGACTCACGTCCGTAGGGAATGGCCCGATCGATGCCGAGCAGCGCAATGTCGTGCGTCTGGACGAGCCGACTGCTCTCGACGTACAGGGGATGAAGGAAGCGCCTCGTCGCCTCCACGATGTACTCGGGCTCCCTCAGACTCGTCACTCCGAAACGGACCACGAACGTGACGCGGCTGTCGATTTCAGTGCTCGTCATCAGCGGTCGAAGAAATAACATTTTAGAAAATAATAAGCAGATTAGTTGTTACTTTGCGAGGCAGTGGGCGGCGGTGATGACCCAGTTGTGGTGGATCACGGAGCCACCGCAAGACGCGACGCGGGCCTCTCTGTTCACCATTCGGATGCTGATCTGGTGCGGGATTTGGCCGTCTTCCGCCTCCCAGCCTGCCACGATGCGCCCCCCGGTGGCTGAGGAATGGAGACGTGCGTTTTACATTTAGAGCGGTCACATCGCTTTTGGCCGGTACCGGCGCAGTACTCACTTTGAGCTTCAGACCGAATCGTTTCGATGTATGCTGGCGCGACCGCTGCGAACGATGCGCCCTGACAATAGAAGATTCGTCATTAAGCTAAAGCGTCGTCCGGGCGACGGCGGCCAAAGTCAGTATAAGGCTTACCTCGACGAGCTTCGCGACCAGGGCGAGGAGCAGGAGCGGAGCGAACGGGTGCCTCGAGGCCATTTTTGCGACTAATTACTCCGATCGATATTTAATTGAAATTGATTACGTTTTAATCGAAGATTATCACACAGACACGAGATAAACGCGGTTATATCGACATAATCTGTTACTTCTGAAGGATTTCATTTTCAAATGAAAAGCCGATTGGTCGCATCGTTTTATTAACATAAGTACTAATACACGTCTTAGGTACAAATATCACAACAGTTCATTACACTTAATTAAGTTTAGTAACAACATCGACCCTAGGGAACCTTTAATATTCACTTAATCAAATGGAAGACTGCATGTTACAAAAATATAATTTTAAATTATTAAATATTAAAAACCTCTACACTCTTGGCGACGGAACGTTAATACGATTAAATAAAAATTATGTACGAACCGTAACGAGCCACAAGGACAAATATAAGTAAATATTCCAATTTTCAGTTTCACATTAAGTAACGCAACAAAAGACCGTACAAAATACTTGTTCTCTTTGGAGGAGGCACTCGGTGATTAAATATTATATCCTTACAAACGATATTTTCATAAAAACTATCTAAGTACTTCAGTTTCATCTAACAGAAGCGATGGCACATCGGTCGAAGGAGCCGGGATCCGCTATCGGGCGGAGACGACGATGGTGGGTTCCTTCTTGGCCTCGAGCATCTTGAAGTAGACGACCGCGTCGTGCACCGTGGGGAACGTTTCCAGTTGCAGCTGTTCCGATTCCAGCGAGTTGTACCTCTCTATCATCTCTAATACGGGACCTGGGGCGGAATCGGTCAGGGAGTAATAAATAATAGTACATCAATACTTAATATATTTAAGATTTACTCAATTATAGTCACCGTTAGCCCCGGCCAAGAGTACGGTGATGTGGCTACTGAGCAGCTCTTTCTGCGCGGAGACGAGGCTCTTGATTCCGGGCGCGTCCACGTACGACAGAGCGGTCGCGTCCACTATCACGCAGTTTATCCTCCTCCCGACGGTCGAGTCCCACTCGTAAGACTCGCTCTTGGTCAGGTTGTCCTCTTCGACTTCCTTCAGGTACCCGATCTTCCGGAACAGTGTCGCTCGGAATAGATTTTTGCTGGCGAAGTTCAAGCCGCCGCAGTAGTGGAATATCTTCACTCCGGGAATCTCTTCGGCCTGGAAAAACATTTTTTGGACTTTAGTATATAGTAATAATACGTCTAAGTTGAGAAGTCGTAATAAGGATAGTGGTGGGTGGTCGTGTACCACAGAGCTCAGTTGATGCACTGCAGTTTCTTTAAACTACTTTCGATAAAAATATTCCAAGCGACATAAGGTATAATTAGTATAGATACATGTATTTATTTATATTAAGAGGCTCTCTGACCTAGAAAAGCGGAGCGAAACTGATTGTGGAAAGAATCTGACAGGCCGGTATGGTCATGATGACGGTTGGAATTCATTGGAGCCAATTAAATGTTGTTCGAACTATATTTATATATGCAATAATCGACTCCGTTACATTTTGACAAAATAATAAACTTAATCGAGAAATTATTTGGAAAAAAGAAGTAGTTCCTTAGAAGTAACTACTTCTATTTTTCCAAAGCTCGCGAATAATTATTTAATTATTGCAAATGAAGAATCGTTACGTGTTAATTTTAACTATTCTGTACTTGTCAGAAGTATACTTCTCTATTTTTACTTTTTTTACTTTAGCCTAATAAAAATAGTGCATCACATAGCATGAAAGAATTGCAAAAATCCGTCCAGGACACGAAACCTTGTTTTAAAACCAGCTGTCAGTAGTTCAAAGAAAACTCAAGGCAGGCAGGCTAAAACTTGTCTCAAAGGCTTAGAGTTGACTCTGTCTGAATTCCTAACAAAGAAGCAGCATTCGTATTCATGGCATGGACTAGGGACGGACGAACTTTTGTTATAACTGCTAATGGTTCCCCGACTGACTCCGTATCGAGGTTATATCTCCAGGGAGCAATTCTTCGAGTATGGAACCCTCGCCAGATTTTTAGAAGAACTTGTCACTCTATGTATAATTAATTTTACTGTTTGAGTTTAGTTTAATTTTGATGTGTTCTGCTAATGGGCGTAACTCCATTTCTGTTAGTGCGTAGTTAGTCTGCAGTTGTAAGTTTTGTTTTAATGAGTATATAATTTGTTTTAACGTTATTGCATAATTTGTTAACCGCATTTACAGATTTCTAGCATTGCTCGCATTAAATAATTAATATCAGTAGGGATGCTCGATTAACATCGATGTTCGATGATCATCGATATTGAAAGCATCGATCATCGATGTTAACTTACGGCCTCACCTCATGACCAAAATTACTTTGCTTTCAGTCAATTAATAAAAAATATTGGGATATGTCATAATTAGATCTGTTGCTTAATAACTTTCAAAGTTATACATTGTGTTTTATTTCTTTGGATGGATTTACTTTTATGGATCCAACCTCGATGTTTTTTGAATATCGAGCATCCCTAAGACATTGAAACGTCACGATGTTAATTGTCATAATACGAGAACCACAGAGTGACAGCAAAACGTTATCTATACTAATATTATAAAGAGGAAAGATTTGTATTTTTGTCAGTAACGGATAAACTCAAAAAGTAATGGACCGATTTTAATAATTTGTTTTTCATTAGAAAGCTACATTATCACTGAGTAACATAGGCTATTTTTAGTACTTGAGTACTATAGGCATCTATAGAAAATCTTACTAAAACCAACGGAAGGCGTAAACAAATTAGCCGTAAAATTGTCTTTCTTCGCATACGCTGCAATGCCGTTCCAAAATATCATGAAATAAAAATAAAAATACATGGGGGCGGAGTATCTAATTCGACGATAGAGGGCCACGCAGTGGGCGCGAACGACATTGAATATTTCGATATTTTTTTTATTTACTATTTTCTTTTGTATTATTATTAGTTTATTCTTAATTTCTCTGATTTAAAATAAATATCCTTCACAGCAATATGCCTAGAAGAAGAAGGTCGCAGCTATCTAAGAATAGTTCCCAAGCGAGATTAGCAAAAGTTCGTCGTATTGGAGAGTCTTCTTCCCAAAATGGTCGCCTGGAAAGTATTAGAGTGTACGCGTCCCAATCGCGAGCCAGAGAATCTAGCGTCGAACGTTCAGTTCGTCTTGCAGAACGAAATGCAAGATCGTCGCAGCTATACGAACGGCAGTCAAGCGCCGAGCGCTCGCAGCGTCTTGAAGGAAATAGAGTTAGGAATTCGCGAACGCGTGCACGGGACTTGCATTATGCCGGATCCAGATTCTCGCGAGGCGCCTCCTAGAGGCTCTCGCCACGAGTCTTGGCGAGCGGAGACTGCACGAGTGCTAGTCAGCCACACTCTCCATTTTATTTAGTTAGTCGTCGCGTCTAGTGCAAGATGGACGACAGCAGTCAACAAATAAGTATAAAGCGAGCGGGAGAGTGTGGTTGACTCCCTCGCCTCACGCTTTCGCGTCCTTTGACTCGCGCTCGAAATACTGACAGAAACCGGAGCGCTAGAGAGGCGAGGCGAGGGGACACGAGCGCACCGTCCACACTCTCGCACTCGCGTTCCCTCGTATCGCCTCGTGAAGAGTGTGGATCGGCCATAACACTGAACCCTCGCAGGTTGTTAACAATTAGGAGGCGCAATACATTTTTTTCTAATTTAGTGATTCCTGGTTGTTTTAATTAGCATGCTTATAATTTAAATATCGGTACATATTTATATCTACGCTAGTATTTAATAAGACGTGTATTTTTTCTTACTTGGCACTTTTGTTAAACAAACACAATTTACATGAAACTGATATTATCACAAGGTTTAATTTGTTTATTATTGATTCACATTAAAACAATTATATATTAGATGAATGAACTACCGCCAATCGATTTGCGGTATTGATTTGAGGTGAATTTTAATTAATCAACGCAAATGCAAATTTACATGTAGGTAAAGACAATAGAAGTTAGAAAAGCCACTCATGGAGGAACGCAAAAACTGTTACAAACGTCGAGTTAAATAATTATGATATAAAAAAGAAGTCGTTAAAAAAGTTATTTTGACGTTGTTAACAATAAGTGTACTTGTTATCTAGTAATGATTTTGTTAAGCAGCAGAGCAGTTACAGTGACGTGTTGTTGTATTGGTATTCTCGTCTAATGTCACACAGGATTGCGTGACGCCAGCGTGTATTTGACATTTTGCTGGAGTGCACCACTTGATGTGAAGCTGTCAAATTAGGAGAATACTATTCGACGCTAAATCGAAACGTCACTAAATTAGTAGAATCGGTCTGCTGGCCAACGCTGATTAAATAAAGTGACTGATGCTAAAATAATGCTGTGGATGATAGGCAACTCACAATTTTGACTTGGCGGTGGATTTTTTCAATGCAGTATTACTTGCTCAGTTTAATGCTCTCAACGTCTGATGTTAGCAATAAAGAGTTTCATTATTGTTATTATCTTTACGAATGTCCATCCAGATCAGAGTCGCGCCTTTAGGGTTGGATGGTAGGGATTGTGGGCGCGAGGTTCAGCGCCCTACCGGCGAGTTTGACTTAGAATGCAATTACTCTAAAATGTGCAATAATGACTCACCGCCCTATATCTCTTGATGTCCAGGTACAGATCTGTGTCCAACACTCGTCCTAGAAGACACGTGTAGGGCTTTTGTGAGCGAACGAACAGCGCACCGACACTCGCCAACAAACCTGCGCCTAACCTGAAATGAGGTCCGAATATTAGTATAGACGAGAGCGAGAGAAGAAGGGCGACTCTACAGCGACGTGCGTCCTCACCCGATGTCGATGTCTATCAGAACCGTCGTCAAAAAGGTGGCGAGCCACACGACGGCGTCCAGTTTACTCAGCCTCCAAAATCTGAAATATTCAAAGCTCCTTGTGCTTAGGAATTCACCAGTACACTCTCAGGTTCCTCAAAGAAAATATGACGATGAATGGTGGGGGGATAGGTGTTTTCGCAGTCATATAAGGCATATTTAAGCCAATTTACGGTCGGAGGTCTGCGTCTATGACCCGTACTCACTTGGCCAAGTCCAAGACCTGCATGAACATGCCTTTGAGCGAGACGGTGATGATGGAGGCGAGGACGCAGCGCGGCAGCAGCTCGAAGAACGGCCCCACCCAGAGCAACACGCACAGGATCAACGCGCTGCTCACAACCGACGTCAGGCCCGTTTTTCCCCCCGCCTGGTATTGAATGTAGGATCGTGAAAGACTGGCGCACATGGGCGCACACGAGAAGAAGGCGCCGAATACGTTGCTAGCACCCTGGAATTTTTATGATCAACACTATTATACATGAGCCGCGCCATCATATATATCTTTGCCTATTTGTGATTCCACTTTATGAGAAAGCTCGAAAATCCATTTCACCGTCCTTTTTTAAATCATTCTAACATTGGACTCGATCATTGTTAAGGTTCTCTACTAAAACGATTAAAATTCGAGAAATACTATATAATAAACACTCACGAGCGCCAAAAGCTCTTGGTTGGGGTCGACTTCGTACTTCTCTTTGGCCGCGAATATGAGCGACATCGACATAGAGATGGTGTAGGTGACCATCGTTATCGTGAACGCGTCCAACGCCACTTCGGGGAGGAGCTGCAGGGGCGGCACTTCCGGCACCGGTAGCCTGCGAGGGTAGAGAGTCATTCACCGCATTGATAATTTTCCTTTGGCAGGACGACATCTAATGATGACTCACCCGGTGGGAATAGTTCCGACCAGGGAGATCCCGTAGGTAGCCTTAAGGTCGCAGTACTTGGAGACGAGGGTGCCCACCACTATCGCCAGAAGTTCGATGGGCACGGGGACCCTGCTGCGTTTGCTCACCCACGGCTGAAGACATTCAGGTTAGCATTAGGTTACGGCGTAAGCGATCTGTTAACTAACCACTTGGGCTCAAGCGACGCTCACCTTAAGTACTTCGTTGTTGAGAGAGATGATGAGACAAGCGAGGAAGGATATGACGAAGGCGGCCCAATTCAAATTGGATATGTTTTTGAACACCTCTATTACAGTCTGAAAGGGTAAGAAATAATTTGTGAACAATTTTTAGCGGTCGCACGCGACTATGAACTACGGTGTAAAAGGCGCCTGTATACGTACCAATACCACTTTGTAATTGCTGCCCAGTTTGGGCAGCCGTATCCCGAAGAGATCCTTAACTTGCGAGGCGAGGACGTGCAAGGAGGCGGCCGTCGTGAAGCCGGAGACCAGAGGCTCCGACAGCAGAGTCGAAACCGCACCTAAGCGTAACACCCACATCAGTACCTGAAACGAGTCGGGACTCCGGCTCAAACTTCCGCTACTTTTCAAACTCCGTCAGCGTGTGCGACTCAGGAGTGAGTAAAACTTTGTCCCTAGACTCTCAAGGGTGCTAATGGAACTGTGTCTACCTGCATAAGTCCGACGGCCAGCGTCACTATGCTGAGCACCTGAACGGCCGAAAACTGTGGACCCGCTTGCAACGTGGCTAAAATATACGGAACGATCGTTAGTAACGAGACTGGCTAAACAATGAGCCCTCGGCGCACAAGGAATTACATTACCTTCTGCAATGTCCGTTCCATTCAGAGGATAAACTATCTGATGAGTCGCGTGTTCGGACACCACCTGCAATCGAATAATACATGATAAACATTGCCAATCAATTAATACGAATTAGAAAAATACCAGTTCTCAAAAAAGCGCCGAGCTTACCTTTCCCGCCATTAGACACGCGACCGCAAAGGTTCCCATGGACACGTGAGGGGAAGTCCCGAAAACGACGTACAAGAGCACCGGAAAGAAGGCCATATACAGGCCAATTATGGGAGGGACTTCCGCCAGGAGTGCGTACGCCATTCCTGGAAAGTATCCGAAAAAAAAATGATTGTTTGCATTTCGGTTGCGTGTCATATGCCAAAAACGAATGCCTCTCAGCTGCGTAGAGAGCTCACCTTGAGGAATGTGCATGACGGCCGTAGTGGCCCCGGCCACCAAGTCTCCCACCAAATCCCGTTTGATGTTGTAAGCGGGTAGCCATTTTACGACGGGCACAGAATTCAACAGACAGTCGCCGAAACCACAACTCTGCACGGCCTTCTTCGCTCTTTGGCCCACTGGAGATATTCAAATCATATTGAACTTTGCCTGTACATATTTATTTTCAATTTGGAAAAACTCAACCAAAAAATAAGTGGTAGGAACAGTGTTGCACAAACTGAGACATAGAAAAGACTCACGAGGCTTCTCCGGCATTTGGTAGTCGGCGTCCTTGTTGAGCACATCTTGGTGGTAGACGCGCCGTATCACGTTGAACTGCTGGCTCGAAGGCGTCTGCAACCTGAGACAAACGGAGAGCGGTGCTTAACGGCAAATTACTGATATATATATATGTTTATGAGAGTACGAAGATAAAAATTCCCGAGAAATGCAACGACTGAGGTATTCCTTTATTCACTCGACTGGCAAATCATCAGTCTACGATTTAAGAACCGCCGAATTCACCAAAGGTCGTCGTCCTCGAGCTCTTCTTCGTCCCGCAAGAGCGGAATGTCTTCGTCGCATCGTCGCACCGATCGTCTCGCGAAGTCCTTCTCGAACAAGAGGAGAGTCTTTTTCATTCGCATCGTGCGAGTCGTCGGGCGACTTCCACTTCGATATGACCTGCGCACTTTTGACCGAATTTACTGCCGATATCTCTCCTCATACATTTCAAAATGAATAAACGGAATAGTCAACACAGTATCTGTATACGACGTTAAATTCACTGTTAAAATTGAGAATATCGACTGGCGGTGTCACTGAGTTAATGTATAATTAATCGATTTTTAACGATTAAACAAGTATTGACCGCGTTTAATAATTTTTCCTGTATAATTGAACCCGGGTTCGCAATAAACGTGATAAGCGCGAATGGCCGGCTGACTCCGCGGACGCGCAGAAGAATCCGACCCTTCATAGAGTAGAGCTCGGCGAGATGGTTCATGTCGATGGAAGTTTGGACAGCGAAGGATAAACAGAAGGACGTCATAAATCGTGCGGGTCCTAAACGTGAAGTGAACTGAAACGCGTGATATAATAGTTACCTCTGAGACGACTCTCAACGAATAAGTCTTTAAAAAAAGTTAGCCGCGCCACGGGTTTATGTTTCCGGACTTCTTATCGGAATGGCGACGGTTATCGTTAATGTAATTCACGAACTTACGTAGTCGGCCAAGTAGCCAAATGGCTTTTGGTGCTAAAGATCCTACGTCTACTATTGCTAAATTTATCACCACCCCTTTGTGATTTGATGCCTCGGTATTTTTTCTTTACTACCTAGGTACTAGACATTTGATACAAAGACTTTGTTTGTGCCACGCAGGTTACTAAAACCCTTGCTTGCATAAACAAACATGTATTTTATTTCATTGTGCAAAAAATAAAATACATATTTGTTTGTGCAATTATTTAACAATGTAGTAAAATTTTATAGCATATAAAAGTCATCGCTTTATGTAATGATTTCTCCCAGTCTACCTTCGTGTACAGACAAGAGAAGCCAACGAATAGCAATTGACGAGGAAATTAGAAATAATGCAACAAATTTTATCTTACAAAGAAACAAATCTTTAAATAATAAAGGTATTTAAACCATTCATACTATCAATGCTGAACCATGCTACTGGGAAAATATGTTTGACTTTATGAGAGCCTAAGTTAAGAATACAATTGACTTTTGTACACTAAACAAGCACAGAACACATTTACAACAGACGGAGGGTGGCAAAACAAAAATTGATACCCAAATAACTATTCCACACATACAAAGTCGCTGACTCAGCCAGTCTAGTGCTTTTTTATTTATTAATAATGAAACATCCGTCTGACTAAAGTTATTGGTGCTCGTTGGGAGCATACAAACCCATAATTAAACATTTACCAGTTTTGTAGACTTTCTATAAAACACTGGAAGGGTAATAAGAAGGACCTACCTTCATATTATAGTCACACATAGTCTGAGGCGCCCTCATAGCTTGTCTATACAGTTTTCCTAGTGATGGCTGATTCGAGCGCAATAAATAAAAGAAGAATGAAGAATTTCAACTTGTTTGCACAGCCAAAAGTATACCAAATAGAGAATGACATGTTTGGGCACTCCAATTGTAAAATGGTGTGTGTAATATAGATTGAAATACATAATTATAATCAATATTTGAATGAGAGTCAGAGTGTGCGAAATCCCAATTTCCACTTTTTAACTGACAAATGACAACTGACATTCGTGACAGCTGTAGGTTTTGTTTCCATTATTCAATAGGTATTCCTTGTATTCGCACTAATCAAATATAATCTATACTAATATATAAAACTGAAAAGTTAGTTTTTATGTTTGAATGCGCTTATCTCAGGAACTACTGGTGGGAAATGAAAAATTATTTTTGTGTTGGTTAGAGCATTTATCGAGGAAAGCTATGAAATATAACTATATAAACATATACAATACAGTGTGCTTAGCTTAAGTATTTTAGTGTTACTTTATTGTTTAAATCTTCATTTTATCGCTAATCATTTTATTTTATTTTCTATGTTGACATTTGCTTCTTTACTGTAATTTTCTTTTTGTTATTATTTCTACACGCCAAGGTGGTCTGGAAGAAACGACATAGACGATAAGGCCGTCTTTTCAGCACAAACATTTTTATTTTTTATATATAATTTTAAGTGTCTTTGTTGGTGCAATAAAGAGTTTCATTATTATTATAATTAGGGAGCGTAGAAGCAGCAATAAATGTGGAGAAAACGGGTAAAATCGACGTCGTGGGTTAAAAATACAATTTATAGAGTTGAACAGGAAGTTTGAATAAACAAATTTCGATGCTCAAAATACGTATTTTACGCGGACGAAGTCGCCGGCACGGCTAGTATAACAGATTAAGTTACCTGAAAAGGGCATCACTTTGATTAGGATAATTAGGTGGTAAAATTAAAGTTCGCACGTTTTTGCCCGTAAATTTTCATCAGGCGAAGGCAATATTTATCCGAATATTTTACCGTCCACACGTCATCAATCACTCGGAGGTATTAACTAGGACTACATATCTTAATTCTATATAAACGAATATATAGCATTGCATAATTGCAAAAAAGGACCAAATTAAGTGCTCTCTCTAGTTTACTCGTATGTTTTGCATATTTTATGACACGGTCGGTAGGACAAGACTTGAACCGGCATCCACAGCGTTTCGTGCTGTTGCCCTAATTGAGCTATCGTGTCCTGCGCGACATCGCATAATTTCTTCGACCTTCATTGATAAATGCACCTTTTGAGCGATGCCTCTCGTTCAAGTCCTGCTTGTTGTGTTCAAAAAAAATCCAAATCGATTTATAATTTATATTTCGTATCGTGTACAATACATGTAAAAATAATCAAGTGTATGAAAAAAAGTTCTCAACATATCCCTTTCTTAAGTTACGTCGTTCTTTTAAGCTAAACGAACAAACTGTCCAGTGAACAAGAAAATCCACGTGCTCTCGTCTTCGCGTGGACAGTTTAAGGTTTTGCCCTCGTTTCGAGATTGCACTTTATGAGAGGCCAGTCGTTTCATGGTATTTTTAAAACGACAGAGAACTTTTTTACTTCAATTTATTTGACCTTGTGCCGTACCGGTCATGAGAGTACCTACGTATTCTTACATGTATATATACACTTTGTTTAATTCGTTTTCGGAAGAATTGTGATAAAAAGAGTCTCACCATTCCGATGGGTTCAGCTTTTCCCGCTCAGCCTCGGTTTGCTTTCCGTTGCCCATCTCTAGTCGGCTCGCGACTCGCGACACTAGTTACACTCCACTCTACACTAGAATTACACTTCACCATTACACAATCTCGCAGCGAGATACGCGACTGAGATTTTCGCGGATTTTGCCTTTATCTTAATCGGTTTACGTCTCTCGCACTTCGCGTGCGCTCTGTGAAGTCGAGCGACTTTACGACACCCGAATAACAGAAAAAAGCTCCTATCACCGTGCGGTGTCCATCTGAATATAAGTCCTGACGCCGGAGCCTATCGGCAGAATCTATGATTTTTTAAGAACGCATCCGAGACGCCTGTCGAGCGGCGACGCCGACGCCGGTGGTCCGCGGAAGCGTGAGCGCGCAATCTATCGATAACGAACACGAGTCAACAGCTTGGCGACAAATGCCGTTTGGCGGTGACGAGATACTATCGCACTTATTGACATCTAACAAGCCGAACGAGCCGATATCGCGGCTCACTGCGCGTTCCGACCGTCTTCGGCAAAAGTATAGAGGAGTAAGAGATATCTCCCTGCATTATGTCTCCGAGCACGCTCGCATAAGTGCGATGTTCGCTTTGCTTCGGTCACCTTGACCGACCATTGCGTAACTAATACAAACATTTGAACCGTCTAATGATATTTTATCGTTTGAGTCATGGAGAGCGAACGGCCGCGGCCGACCCTGGCCGTGTTCCTATAACACTTCTATTATGGGCGATCGACAATGGAGTCCACTTATAACGACACGTTCCTAATCGACATCAGTCAACAATTGCAATTAATTTGCAAGACGAGACGTAAAGTGAAATATTGATACGTTTAGAGGTAAATTAGCGCCTGCCTACGAGTGCGATAATCGCTTAATTCGATATTCGCTGATATTATTCACTCCAGCATTTAGTCGCGTGACATCTCTATCGCAACGATTGACGGACACAATCTTGTGACATGTATTTTATCAAAAAGAAAGGGATAAAAAAAAGAAAAAAAAACTGTTTCCACTTGAGAATGGAAATTTGATTAAAATTGGCTACAATAAACCATGTAAACGGCAAAAAGTATAAAATAGTTACGGATACTTACATAATAAATGTCGGAATTATCAATAATCAAGCGAGACTAAAAAGCCAAAAAAGAAGTAATTAAAAAAAATCAAGTCCACCCGGCGCCCAAAGGCAACTAGAGAGATCGAGCGAAGGAACGAATCTCTTATAGAACTAAATCGCAGTGATAAGTGCGCTCGAGGGATCCTGAGAAGGACCGTAATCGCGCGCCAGTTTACGGAGGCTTAATTATGTTTAATGATTACCTTTATTAATCCGGTAAGCTTAGCTCACTGCGGAAGTCCACATCAGAATCGCAAATACGCGAATTCGCAAATAAGCTCCAATAAACACCTTATTTACCCGGTGTTAGTTCGCTAATCGGAAATTTCAACAAGAAATCGGCGCTCACCTACGGAACGGCTGTTACCTACGAGCCGGACCGAAAGTTAACGAAGTGTTTAGCCGTCGTCGCTGTCTTAGTTAAACCGATTAATTTATGGGTGAACCTTAAGAGTTAAGAACACTGCTATGCTAACGGAAGGCCTGAAAATTTACGACGACTTTTTGTTTGCTCCTAAAGTTTATAGTAAAACAAAGATCACGCTGACAAGATAATAAATGGCCAAAGGCTGCGCAATAAATAATCTTCACGAGCGCGACCTCGCCGCAGAAGGAAAATACGTCTTCTTCAAATTGGAGACTCCCGTAACGTACGACAACAAACAATCAAACAGTTCTCGGAACGACGTGAGCCGAAGGTAATGCTTAATTCTCATTTCTGCTGCTCTCCTGACTTTGCCTTTTACGCGTCTTTAATGCCGATCGCGAAACGATTATTATAATCTCTGTGTACGACACGTTATTCGTCACGTTTCCGTGAATCGCTTTTGGAGTGTTTATCACGTAGACGCTAACTGCACCGCTGTTTGCTCTCGCGACGGCCATCATCGCAAACCAGGATCATTGAAAATATTGTCTGATGCGGCCGCTATCAATTTTTGCAAGAGAGTTCGTATTCGTATACTACGTTTTAAATAAACCTTTCGGTTTAAAACGCGTTTTTTTGTTTTTTTTTTTTTTTATTGGTCCCCTTGGTTCCCGTGGTTTGGGGGGGGGGCGGTGTTTTCCCAGGGTTCGGGGGGGGTGGGGGTGGGTTTTTTTTTTTTTTTTTTTTTTTTTTTTTTTTTTTTTTTTTTTTTTTTTTTTTTTTTTTTTTTTTTTTTTTTTTTTTTTTTTTTTATAAATCGATATGTTTACGAGAGATCTAATGTTGATGTAATAAGATATAACGATGATTATGCATCGACTTATCAGGCGCCGGCCACTGGGATGAAACGTGCGGCTTCGTGACGCTTTTTTCTCTCAGTACCTACGATAGATAGCGACTCTGTATTATATGCATATTATAATGTAAGTACTTGTAATTTTCCTTGAAACCTTCGCGATGGTATATATTACGATTTTAACATGAAGTACGTTTTAGTGCCGTATTCGTCGATAACATAAAATGCCCGCGTATCCTAAGGCAATTCATTATTTGTAAGCGCCGTTTTTAACAGCTATTTTAAGAATCTGCTAAATCATTCATTTGCAGCGATGAGAAAAAATATTTGACGAATCGACAGATTGTTTAGTCGATCATCGGAAAAACCGAAGAGCACGGTGCGGTTTGTCCTGTTGTTGAACTACTGTAAAAATATATCTACATCTACTCCAAAAATTAAAAAGAAAAATATAATTTCAAATTTTGTCTAGAAAAATGAAACACCGAATGGAGGTAGGCTTAATAAGAAAAGACAAATATTTGATGTAAGAACACTTTCGTTCTCAACGTCATTAAGAATGTTGTAACTACGTAAGTGTCATTTATAAAAATTGTCGCCAATTCATTATTATTCTAGTCTACATAACATAGGACATGTCAGCATGTTATTGCACCGACCGTATCGCACTTGGAGTGATACTTCACTTCAATATTTGGTAATTACCATTCACACCGTAACTGTACACGAAAAAGAAATTGAAGGTTTTACTGCCGAAAATAAATAAACAGCGACTACCTCTAATAATCATTATTATTGCAATTGATACAACTTACGATATATTTTTAGCCCACACTTGTCTTCTAATTTAAATCTTGTTTTTTAAATCAATATAAAACGTTAATAAGCCCTTACGCGAAACCTCACTTCGTCTCTGATTTGTTGTTATTTTTTCCGAATTTCAGGATAATAAAATGTTGTGTAGCGGTTTTTATCGACCGCGATTTCCCGCACACTGGATGGCACTGAGCCACTGAATTTATACAAAGATGTAATGTTTTGACTGAAGCGAATCCGTCACTGTCACTGAAAACGACGAAGACTAACAATTAGTATTACCACATAATGCAAACGAAACTTTGTCGTCATTTTAAACTAATAATCATAGTCTGTCAACCTTCTGCCAAATCAAACCTAACAATTTTATAAAACCGATTAGGTACATTATTCGAAATCTGTCGATACGGATTTATTTAGTAGTTCTAGCGTAAATGAGGGTGGATCAAAGGTTGTGCCTTTTTAGGCATGGCAAGACCGCTTCATTGATTTTGGAATCTTCACATTTGACATTCCCTAGTCCCCACTTTGTCTGTGGCCGTAACGCGGGATTTTATACATGTAAATTGAAAGATAGTCGATTTCAAATTTAAATTGATTACTTCACATGTAAGTGATTTAAGTAACAAATTGTAGTAAAACCATTTTATTAATACCGAAGCCACCACTTACCATTACAAAATATGTATTAATGACAGAATAGAACGTTTCCCATTGCCGAGTTATTATTATTAGTTTTGAATCCATTCATTATAGCTGAGATGTGAACTGGAGCACAAAATAAAATTATGAGTGATGGCCGACTGTGAAGTGGATTTGTTCCGTGATACGTGGGTGCGTTACTTGGGTGAGCTCTCATTGTGTAAGACGTTCCTCATCACAATCCGCAGCAAATAAGATGTGATCGCTATGATGAAAAAGTTTAAAAAGTAAACATGTTTTAAGCACTGTAAACGGCCACAACGGTAGATACGTTTTAGCGTCGTTTAAAGTGCGTCAGTTACAAAACAAAACTTCTTCAACACTCACCCTTCATCTCTGCTAATGTACTGGTCACTGAAGAGGTCCATATTTTAAGGTTACGCTAATGAAGTGGGTGAGTCGTTCCGTTCCCTGGTGCCCGTCAAGGTGGTGAGGGCCAGTTATGCCGTTGCATTTGCTTATGCTTTTGCTGACACTGCAGATAAAAGTTGGAAGATGTTCCAAGTTAGTTAAGAATCAATTTTCAATAGCAATTGGATATTAAGTGAAATACTATTTAGCCTCTGTGGGCACGGGGGACATAATTCTTGTCTCTTTTACTGATAAGTTTTTCATATATACAAGTGTTTATTGCCAAATTTAAACTGGGGACCTCGTATGCTTAAAGCAAGACATGTTTTATTCTTGAGGGCGATTCAAGAGAGAAAGCATAGTATATTCCATAACAATGTTGTTTGGTATTCCTATTTGTACTATATTAGTGTTGCCTAAAATGCAACGCTTGCAACACAGTTTTCTCTCTTTGCCATAACTTGTATGATTTATTTAGTCATTTTGTTTGTTATATTTTTAGAAAGATGGACGACCAAGGAAAGTTCTCATTGAAACAGGGGACGCCCTGTTGTGGCAAACGTTAGCTTCCGTTGTTATTCCTGGACTTACTATTAATAGGTAAAAACAACATATTTTGATTGCTTTTGAAAGATTCTTATTTTTACCCAGAGGACAAATAATTTCAGGATTTGCTCATACACCAATAACTTTCTTCAAAAAAATGCCAAGAGGATACCCCTCACTCCTCGAAGTCTCCTCACAGTGGGTGCTGGACTCGTCTCGATTCCTTTTATAGTTCATCCAATTGACAATGGAGTTACATTATTTATGAATATAACTTATCGTCGGTGGGTCTGTTAGATGTATTCTGGATTCACTTACTGTACAATGTGAGTAGGAAACAATAAGTTTGGCAATAAGGATTTTGTGGCATTTTAATACAATTCTACAAAATTCTGTAGCAGTAGTTGTGACCAAAACACACATGCATGCATGCAAATGGGGGTCGAACGTAGCTTGTTTTTATACATAAACTTTAGGCTGTGAGGATATCGGTTGCAATGTTGATAAAGTTTATAAAAAGATTATAATTTGTTTTATTTTACCCTAACAAAACGAGGAATAAAACAAATTTGTTTCGTGCACTTATTGTAGAAAAACGCCTGGCAGACTATTTTGGCACTGTTTCATACTAGACTAATCTTACAATATTAACCGGCTCCAATCCATGCGGAGATCTTTTCCTCAAACCTTAGCTTTTTCTCGTGGGTTTCTAGTTTAAAAGGTAAATTTCTACTTAATATCGGACTTAAGCGGTCTGTAAATTCGTTCAGTAAATTAAAACGTGGTAATTATATGTAAAAGAAAATAGAAGTCAATTATTTTTACCTTTTTGCATTATTTTATTAATCAGTGTTACTATTGAAAATGTTTATCTTAATGTACACTCGTAAGAATTTAAAGGGAGAAAATAACATTTTATATGGAATATCATAATATATGTATACGAAGCAACGCCAAAAAGATTTATTAAAATTATAAAATAAATATTGATTCTCAGAAAATTTTCCTTCATTTATATAGCAACCCCAAAATAGAGATGATGGGCCGATTCGACTGACTTGTTAGTGATGGCATTTAGTAATCTGACAGATGTATAATGTAAAAAATTAAGCTTATGTTAGATTAAGCCTTAAATTATCGAAAAACTGCACATTTTCTTCTATAGTTTTAACGAAAGCCAAACCAATTCAAGTAACTCGATATTCGTTATTCTTGTTTTAATTGATTGAATCCTAATATATTTATTGACTGGATGCCACTAAAAACGAATATAAACTCAAATTCTTTTCACTAGTTTGGAATTTAAGGCAATTAACAGTGAATTAAGGACTTAAGTTACCGACTGGGTAAGTGACTGTACTTAAATTTATATAATTCACGGGATTTCTAGGAAACATTATATTATTATAAACAATAAAACTCAGACTATAAACAATGGTAAATGTAGGAGTAACTAGTAAACAGGATACATTTGTGACAAATTTTTGTGAAGCATTCCGATATTTAGATGGAATTATTTTACGAAATCCGTTTATTAAACTCGTGTATATGATTGTATACGCCACTAAAACAGCAAGTACCAAATACAAAAGGTTGACATGTTGGAGGTGATAATTTTACACATTTCGTTTTATTGGATTTCAAAATTGTGTTTCGTTTCAGACACGTTACGGCGCCCTCACGGCGTTACGGAACGGTTAAGAAAATTTGCTACTTGTTTTATTACAGTACTTACGTGGAACTAAGATTTTTCGATTCAGACAAATGATTATTTCAAGAGTCTCTAGAGGGACTACTTGCTATTGCTAAACCTCTTATGAGGAAAATGTAAAAGTTTTCAGAGAACTCAATTTACATCTAATTGTTTGCTTAAAGAGATAATAATCGTTATCGAGACTGCCAGGAGAAGCACATTAAATATGTGCTATTTACATATGTCACAATTATTTCATAGTATTTCCCCATTTCTCATTTGTAACAACGAACTTATGCCTCCATACTATATGGTTATGGCTTTTAGATCTGGATTATACCTGAATACAAGTATTGTTTAACGAGTGTTTTTTCGATAAATGGACCAAAATGGACAAACTGTACAGGCAGGGAGCCTTTACTTTTTCCGCTGTAAATACGCATAGAAGAAATATGTGAAAGACTACTTCCTCTAAGGGTCCGAAGAGTGAGGTCGACGGAAGCAAAAAGTATTCAAAACAAAAAAGAATATAAATTAATTACTGCAGGTGCATCAAAGTAGAACAATGCCATTATAATTACGTAAATAGGGTTATCGCTTGAACTATAATTATTAATTTAGCTGTGTTAACAGCATTGAACGAAGTGATTTTGGCTTTGGCTCTCAGGGGTGGCACACGAGCAATAACGCCGGTTATTGCTCATTCTAAGGCTTACAAATGACGTCGACGGTGTATTCTTTTCGGAAAATGTTTTGTTTGAAATATGTTAAATCTTGTTGTATTGCAACACCTCACGAATTAATTAGTCTGCCATGCGGTCCACCTTGATAACCCATCGTTATCATTACCGAAGGATTCTTTAATATTATTCAAGACGTGCGAGGTTTTCGGTAGACTGCGGAAACGAGAAAATAAATATAGTATATATAGAACCAGAACTCGCTACGTCCGCGAGAGATAACGCAAGAGCCAGACGTAAGATGACAAGATCAAATATTGTTTTACAAAATCATTATTGATTACCTGTATCTAATGCTGAGGGTGTCTTTTTTACAATATCCTTATCAATGACGCACGAAGAAGACTAAAGTACTTTCGATTAGTACCCCGTCGTCTGGTAAGCGTAACGTACTCGAAACAAAACAAACTGAGAAATCGTCGGAGACAACATATTGCTTGTTTCATTGCAAACAGCAAAAAAAATGTAGGTACGTTGAACTATATATCACAATGTTGGTGCACTTTTGTGAAATCCATTGAAACATTTACCAAAGTCAAAGGTTGCAAAAAAACTACTTTCCGGCCGTGTCAAGAATACTCTGTTGAATAAATAAACTCACCGCGATTTGGTCTCAACTTTACGCAAAATAGTAACAATTGTCGATGGCTTAATGAGCGATTCAAATCGATCGTCTCACTCGATTTGGTTCTCGACGAAAACACTTTGTGTGCCTACCTTCTAGCCTAAAATATACGTCACTTTTTGTATATTATATAAGTATGTTACCAAAGAAAGTGCCTTTTAATAACCGAAGCCATTATATCTGTTACTTTATCTACGAAACGATGGATCGTCAAATATGGACAAAACTTTTCTAAGCTTTTAAACGTTACATTGATCGTATTTCTTATACTACACGACAAAGAAATTGTACAAACATTAAAGTATTGAACCTCCGTAAAATGAATTCATCGTGTTTCTCTATTACGAGCGCAATAATATTCATATTATATATTTAATCTCTTCTGTTTGCTTTTTCTATACATATAATTTTAATTAGAAACGTTTGTTTTTGTACGCGTGTTTGACAATAAGACATTCATATATTTATGGAAGTCTTACCTTCGGAGTCGAGACCGAGTGCTTTTGAAACGCCGATAGGCACTCACTACACGGTATGTGTCTGATGTATTACACGTCTGTGTTGAGACAAGTTGGGGTGTCAACTGTGTAGGTGGGTCGCTTTTGATATGGCGTTTGTTGAAATCTCGAGATTATTAGTACAAGTGATGGGCTTCGAGCGAGTTCACGTGCCGATGAGTCTCGACACGAAAATAGGCACATAACAAACATATTTTGTTGTACAAAATGAAATAATTTCTCCCTTTCGGCTAATCTAGTTCATTAGTGGACGGAGATTGCATTGGCCATCTTCGATGAAGTAGTAGGTAACTTAAGACGCTTTCTTGAGTAACAAGTATTCGCTTAATTGCAGAAGAAAGAGACTATCGATGGGAGATGAAACACCTGAAAGAGTTGCGCTGACGGTTTATTTTACGTTGGACGTTGTAGTTTGTATTGAATTATGCAGAATTTTAGTAAACACACCAGTACGGACACATAGCTGTCCGTTTTCTTAATGAATAGAATGACGGGTACGGCGACACGATTCATGCCCCTTAGTGTCATTCCTATATTTTTTTTTAGATTAGAGCAACAAAATATATCGAAATCGACAATCGGACGCCAGAAGGTATCGGCGACGGGTACGGTCGTTTAAATATTTCGTACGCGCCGAGGCTGGCAAATAACGAACGATAGATTTATTATTTAAATATACATTTAAAATGTATTCAAATATTTCAGAAAATATATTTTACATACAAAGACACCGGCAGAGGCCAGTGCGAAATAAATTAGAGGAAAATTAAACAGTAACGTGTACTGTTAGTCGTTCTGTCGATTTATGCAAATCTGAGCGTTTCGGATATTATGCGAATTGAACCTATCTATTGAAACGAGTTTCAAACTAGATTCTGTGACATTTACTCACGTGATCCGACCGAGTGACGTGCAATAAATAAAGTATTCATATATATTATTTCAGAGGAGTGTAGCGGATCTGAAGGACTGTCGCTTCCGAGGGATGTTTCGGCAGGCGAGGCGACAAACTTTGCCGAACGCGAAGCGTTCCTAGGATAATGCTGTCACCCTGTTCTAGTGCGTGGGTGCAGATGAGTGTCGAGGTGTAAGTCGTGGTGGTGCCCGCGGCGACTAGAGCTTCTACCTAGCTAAAGATTACGCTTCGTCTAGTTGTAAGATAATTAAGTGTTTTTTTCAACGTTAACCATTTCTTTTATTAAGAATTGCTATCTACCCGCCACATTCGGATTTTAACGATTACCGTCGTCGTTGTCATAGTATTAGAAGTTTGCTCAAAGAAATTTGCAGACCGGCGAAGGGTGATCATTATCGATTAGTTTCGTTTTATCTTAACCGAATCCAATGATATCTCATTGGATTGTAGGAAACATGTTTATCTCGATCGTCGGGAGCGCGACTGCTGTGACATTTATCGCTCCGCTATCGAACGGCTTTTCCGGTCCGCCGTAATCCTAGATTTGAGGATTCGTGACTGCGACGGGCGACGAAAATAACGAGGATCTCATCGCGATTTTTCATACTCGCGGCGGCGGAATATTGGCAGAGCGGCAGATAAGTGTCGAAGGCGAGTCCCTGACGGTCGACGGCGATTACTACTCCGTGACGCTATAGATAACTGAATTTCAGGTCATAAAACTACCCGCGCAATGTATGTATTTCGATAAGAACTCGAGGCTATGGCAAATAAACGCATCTTAGAAAAGTCTGTCGCCTCTCTATCCACGTCGGTGACGAAAGCCTTGTCCGTGTTTCAGATACTCTTGCTAGCTTATATATAATACATATATCGAGGAGCTCATTTCTGCAATGTCATCTTCGAGGCGCGACGATCTAAAATCCCTTTTATAGCCACTTTAGTCCTCTAACGCCCGACTAAAAAAACACATTTAAATAAATATAAGGAGAAGCGCACCTAATTGTGAACGAGGCTAGAACCATGATTCAGTAGGTCAGCCACGAACCTGAGAATCAAAACCCAAAAACCCTGAAAAAGGCGTCGGTACCACTTTTGTACGTAGCACAGTACGTAATACGTGTTCAGGACGATGTAATATCTTAGTTGCGAGGGAACATTGTCAATTTATATGCAAATTATAGCGGTGAAACACTGTAGACGAGCCGAAAAATAAAGTATGACATTTAAACAAATGTCATACTTTATTTTTACATTTACTTTAATCTGCTAAAAGAAGTAGGGGGACGAGAGTTGCCTTAGAGTTCAACAATAGCTGAAGTTGACTAATCGTGATATATTTATCGCACCATCAATGTCCACAGTGATTTCCAAAATAATTAATTGATACGTAGTTAGGTTAACGGCTAGTCTTCATAAAAACTACTAAGTTATTTGGTGACTGCGATATAAAAAAAAAATAACCGTAAATAGATAATTATTAAAAGAATAGATTTAGGAATATGAAACTCCTGTACGTATGAGTCAATCAATATGGACAACGATCACAGCAGACGCGTAAGAGAAAGGTTAATGGATGGTTCGAAAAAGGACTCACCGAACCTCGTCGTTGGAAACGTAACGTTTGCGTAGCCGCATAATGTGATCCCTCACAATATGTGCACTGTACCGGCGCCCTTGCAGCGTAAATGGGCAACAGACCGTCCATTTGAGCACTCATAGTTGAGTGTTAGGTGAGCAATGAAGTAGAGTAGGATTAGGATTTTACAATTAATCGTATCTACCCTTATTGCCCACACTAATGGCCTAAATAGCCGGAAAATACTAAAGAAAGACATTAGGACTGCAAAGTTTTGCGCAGGTAGGATTCTCTCCTGGAGTTCTTCGGCTCTGGGCGTCTTATACGAGTGATTGGCAACAATATGTAAATCATATTGGCAGGCAGCATTTTTATCAGCTCTGGAATAAGTCACCTCTGTAGCCAAATGGTTAAACGTATCGCCTAGCTTTGTGTTATGCGCGAGAGGTCCTGGGTTTGAATCTCAGGGGAACGAAAAAGTTGTTCCGGTCGGGTAGGGCACAGAAGTCTGATCAACTACTTGCCCGTTAAAAAGAACTGATCAGTGAAACGGATATAGAAATGTGTTCCCGTGTCCTAGAAGGGGGAAACGGGATTTCACTGGAATAAGTCAAGGTTCTAATCTTGAACCTTTAATTTTTTTTTCACTATAATATAATGTTCTTATGCCTGTTTGTGCAATAAAGAATTGTATTCTTATTACCAACAGAAACAGAGCATAGCTACTGTTTAATGCTTTTCTATAGGTCAAATATGAAAGATTGCAGATGCTTACAAAGCGATATACGGCTGGAGTCCGCAGAATAGACTTAACTTAGGAAATAATTCAGTCGTTAGTATTACACGCACGTGTAAACCTGTAAAATACGATTATATCGTAGGGACAACCCGCTTACGGAAAGAGACTCAAATCCAGAATCTGATCGTCGTCACCTTTCGGGAACATCCCTGGCTGCGATGAGGATAAGTACTATATCACTCAACAGTAAGGCACTCATACATTGGAATTTATATATATTTTATCCTTGAATGTACCCCGACTCTTTTTATATTAGGCATGTTCGGGTACAATAAACTGAAGGTACCGAGGGACTTATTACTTGTTATATTATATCTGGCTAAGGTATTGCGGGGTCGAGAGTTGAGTCCAGGAGTACGACAGTCCTTACACTTGTCAGTTCCGGACCGATACGTGAGGCGCCTCCACACCACCGATACTCATCACCAACTTGCTCCTGATCTTCTCTTGTTCGTGCGATGCGAGTTGTGAACAAGACATTTTCTCGAGCAGCTGGGGCGAATTTACTTCATGAGATGTTAAATCTTTAATGTAATCACTTTCTATCTTATTAAGACAATCCTGTAAAAGCAGGTTAAGTTGATAGAAATAAATAAATATGTTAGTTCCTTTGCGACGAGTACACATATTCAGTAGGTGGGCTCAGGCGCAGGAAATAAAATAACAGAGTATATCATAATCCCACCTTTTCTTATAACAATTCTACTATTTAGTTGCGTTTAACAATATTTCGCAATAAAAACGTTTGTCAAACTGCAAATTAAACTAACGACAATATTAAATAATACTTATATATACGTATATCTAAAAATGATCATGGAATCAAACGTATTTCTGAACACAGCAGTTCTGTAATGGTGATGGCAAAAATAAATAATTCCGTCGAAGGCCAGCGCCACATCGACGATAACACGAACCGACCGGTTCCGTTTAAATGGACAATTTAAAGGCAGCCAATCGCGGGTATTCAGCAATTTTGTGAACAATTTGTCATAACCATTTATATAAAAAAACGTCTTAATTATTTGCAAACTTTAGTCTCGTAACGATCGTCCGGAGAAAAAGAAGACGAAATCGCGAGAATTCTCCGGTGTTTGATTCAAAAGAAGATTCACTCCGGAGAACAGTTCTCGTCGACCGGTCGCTTTCTTTGTATAACTATTATGCCCAATATTACACAATCTAGCTACGATGTCCCTACGGCCTCGCGGCGGAATGACTAGACTACGATCACGATTCAAGTTAGCATACGACTCCCCGACTGCGTTAAAACTACCGATTGATAAAATCGAAAGGGTGGTCAATGACTAGCGGAAAATTCTTGTAGCGTCCTCTCGAAATGCCAACCTAGGTTTGACTCGGAATTGTACCGCTCAGTGCTATTACATATACGCAAAGAGTCTCACTAAAATACTTCACGCATCTGTTTCCCTAACCTAACTCAGCGTAAACGCAATTAAAAAGTTCAAATAATAATCGATCGATGAAAAATTAACCGCGTTCTCTCAAATCGGAAACATACAAAAGCTTTCATTTAGATCTACTTATATTAAGGCGACCATATTACAGGTGGTCGCATCACGTTCGCATTGTACTTGGCGATTTTCAGCTCCATCGAGTGAGTTAGAGAAATACATAATCTGGAGCGCGTCGCCTATACTTTAAGACCGACTTCGACAGACGGCGCTGAACCTGTTTATGTAATGCATACCGGAACCCGCCGAAAAACAAAAGTGGAGCGCCGACAACAGTTCCGCCAGTTTCCTTCGCCGCGGCCGAAAGGACATCGAGTACGATGTGGGCGAGCTCAGTGTTCTTGGTCCGAAGCCTCGATGTTCTCGGTTTGCGCAAATTTGAGGAACACCTGCTCCAACGTGGTCTGGCTGAAGCTGTACTCGACGATGTTCAGGCGCTCCTTGGCTGAAAAGAGGAACGGTCGGGTGAGCTCGTCAGTTGACAACTAAAGATAGTAATCGACGGCTTCGAGTACCTTCTTCGATTTGCTGGAAGCAGGTGGCGAGGCTCGAGACGGAGCTCTGCGGCACGGAGAAGAGGAGCCTCTCGGCGAAGCTCTCCTCGAGGACGGCGGACGGAAAGAGGCGCGCCACCAGCGCTATCGCCGCCTCCAAGTTCGCGCCGCCGCTCGACTCCGTCCTGACGATTCAAAACAATGCATAACGCACGCGCAACGCTAAAGACTGTTTTTGTACTGTAATTTGCAAAAGGAACCGGACCGTTGATGGTGCAGTCTGTTAGCGGGCGCGTTGCCCACCAGCGGGGTGTGTATACTGACGTCCACCGTCTCCGCTTCGCCCTCCGCTTCCGCTTCCGCCGTCGCGGAGCCTCCGCCCGAGCCTGCTTCAGAGAGACCCCTTCTTTAAGCCAATACGAACTACGAGAGCATACGTACGAATTAAATGGATCTAATTATACCTTCACCCGCCTCCCTCAACGACGGAGAATTATCGCCGGACCGAAGAGGCGACGGCGACATCGACAGATCAGAGTCCATCATCTGCAACCGATTACTTCTCCGTTCATTTAAAGTACATGTATGTAAAAACGTACTATGAACATCTACAATATCTATAAAAAATAAGATTTGCCAATTTATTACCGGCTTCTGATTGAGCTGGCCGATCTTCATTTCGAGCGTGTACCCGGCTCCGTACAAGTTCTTCAAGTGCTGCGTCGATCCGACGCATCTGTCGACAGAGCGAAACAACTTTAGTCTGAGATTTAAAAAACAATAGAACACGTACTTTTACCGAGCGTCGAATAAAAAAGAGTCAAGCTCACCGCAAACCTCCTTTGACCATGATCCCGACTCGGGAGCACAGAGCGTCAGCCTCCTCCATGGAATGTGTCGTGAGAATAGCACCCTTTCGTCCCTGTCAAAGTCCGAAGTAGCCAATGAAAAAATAAAAAACTTGTAGAGACCGACATTGACCTCGGTGGCTTAACGCTTAGTCTTCTGTGCCGATGTAAAGGTACCTGAAAACTGGCCAGGATGGTGTCCCACAAGAAGCGCTTACTGCGCGGATCCATGCCCGTGGAGGGTTCGTCCAGCAGCACCACGCGGGGAGAGCCCACCATGGCCAGCGCGAAGGACAGCTTGCGACGAGTGCCGCCTGAACATTCGTCTGCGTTCTTACTCGCGTGCTCCATTATCTGAAGCCCGTTTAAGTACGCGTCCACTATCCTGAAATATACATATTTCCCTTCTGTCTACGATCGCTTCGGTTCGCTTTCCAATGTCATATGTTGGGGAGGCTCACCTAGGCGTGTCGGCCTTGCTGATGCCACGAATGGCCGCGTAGCACTCGATGTGTTCCCGGATGGTGACGTTCTTCCAGAGGGCGTCGTGTTGCGGACAGTAGCCGAGCATCTGAAAAGCACTCGACTGCACCTCCGTGATACTCTTGCCTCCCAGCATCACCTGCGAATTGTTCGTATTGCGTTCACTTATAATCTAAAAGTATCCGACGCCCGCGAGCGCCGACGACGGGTACTCACGGTGCCGTCGGTCAGCCGCTCCTCTGCCGTGACGATCTTCATGGTGGTCGTCTTCCCGGCTCCGTTGTGGCCGAGCAACCCGAACACTTCTCCGCCGTGCACGGCGAGCGACAGACGGGCGACGGCCGCGCGCTTCGTGCCCTCCGTCCCCCCGCACCACGAGCCCTCCGAACTTCTAACCTTGTATTCCTTGCGGAGGTTCTACAACGTTCGAGTTTTTTGAAACGAATTTGTTCATACAATTACAATCGTACGGCGAGTGAGTACATACGTGAACTAAAAGAGCGGGAACTTGCTGTATCTGTTTTCCCTGTATCTGCTGCAGCAAAGAGGCTACTCTTCGCCTCTCTCGCCTCACGTCCTCGTCCTCCCCCACCTCACCCCCCACTTCTGACTCCGACTCCGATGTCTTGTCCGCGTCTATCTTCTTGCGCTGAAAAGTATTTAAATTAATAGCACACCACGCGACATTTTTAACAAATTCAATTACTCCCGCGCATGTCGTATCGCATACCGGACATATCCGTCCTCCGGACTTGAGTCTGTCGGCCGCCAAGAGCGCCGCCCCGCAGAGGGGCACGTGCACCACCATCGCGCATATCAGCACCCACACTTCGGCCGTGAAGTAGCTCGACAGAGCGGGCACCGTGCACAGCCCGCTCAGGTTACACGTTAAATATACCCTGAACACAATTCAGATTTCAACGTCCACTCAAGAAAATAAAATATATTTTATTCTCTTTAGAACTTATTTAGATTCGTCAAAAAAGTAAAAATGTCTGTACGTCGTGATTCTACAGAGTATTCAAAAGAACAACATCAACGAGAAACTCAGTTCGGATTTTTTCAACATTTCTAATTTCTATAAACTTTGAATTTCACTAGGAGAAATTCATATCACTGCCAGGCAGCCTTGTCATTAAATAAATCGTTCAAACAATAATACGCCTTGTGGGACAATCTAAATTTTATGACTTTTTAAAACTTATTCATTGATAAATTAGCAACCTCAACTGGCAATATACGAATACAATTCCCCGCAACTGAATTAATTATTTTATGGAGCCCATAGTTGGGGATAGCTACTTTATCCTTAGTATTATATATCATTATTCTTGCTTGCTTGAATTACTTTCGGTTGAAGAACTTACCTATCGACATAATAGATGATAGCATACGGTATGTACATAACGTCTAAGAAACTGAACACGGTGTGCAGATAGAAGGCTATTTCACTACCTGAAACAGAAAATTAAGTTGAGACGGAGGCAGCCGTCGGAGCCGAGGTGGCATATCTACGAGTATTACCCCATTTGAAGGTATCCAAGCAGGCGACCATGACGAAGGGAATCACGCCGACCCACGTCGTGATGTTGGGCATGATAGACTGGGCGGAGTCCATCTTGTCGAATACGTAAGAGAGGCACGTGTTAAATAGGATGGCGGAGGGGCTGTACAGCACGAGGAGGCCGGTGAGCATAGTTATGGCGGAGCCGTTGGTCAAGCTGGGAATGTCATTGAGGATCACCTGAAACGGAAGCCAATCTTATTACAACATCTACCGCGGTCATAGCCGATGTTGAAAGTCTAAGTCTAGTTATTTACGAGCTTCTTAAATGAATTTTTAGGGTATATGCGAGCACTTACGAGTACGAGAACACCGACGCTCGTGAGAATCATGATGAAGATGAGGATCGTGAAGTAGGTTAGGAAGTACATGCTCATCGAGAGGCCATTCACGCGAAGTTGATTCTTAGCTTTTATCTGAAACAATTCACGTCTAAGTAAGTGAAGGAATTCAATTCAATTCTGCCCGATGAAGCAAAACGACGCACCTCCCTATCGTACACGATATCTACGGCCAGAGTGACGGGCACCAGAGCGAAAATCATGCCCATGAAGATAGCGCACACCACGCTGCCCAGGTTGAACTCCTCGGGCTGCTCCAGCTGTTGAAAAGGGTGCGTGAGCACTTCGATGGGTCTAAAGCTGTCCAACTGCCCCGCCGCAGACATGAGAACTCTGTAATACATGAATTTTAGAGAGATCACACGACGGGGTGAAAACGATCACCCCACTCCCATACCCCACTAACCTGTAAATACTATTGTCCAAAAGATTAACGATAATAGGCAAACTGTGCGTATAGGTGCTATTGTAATAGGCCAAAATGTTCCCGTAGGGGATCAGACTCTCTTTGAGGCTGTAGGCCCCGAAGTTTTCCATATTCAGGAGTGTGGAAAAGTTCCCGTCGAACAGGCCGATGGGATAAGCTCCCAAGCTCTCTAGAGATGACTTAAAATTTTCGACCGCGTCCGAGTCGCCTCGCTCCGTGTGCAGGGCCGTCGGGGTTTTGTTCAAATAGGCGTTCGGATCCAGCTTCAGAGGCTGCATTCGGAAGAACACGATCTGCCGCGACTTTATGTACAGGCCTAGAGCGCAGGATACTGCGAGAGAATAATCGTATTGTACTTTTAGATCATCGAAAAAGGTAACCGTTGTCGAAGATCAGTTCTTTTAACTCCCACTTACTTATGGGCATAAAAATCATAACGTAGAGCTTATAGGGGTCTCTGATCATCCTCACGGTGCGGATGTAGACGAGCGCGCAAAACGTCCGCCAACACGAGGGACTCGTCTTCACTATTTCGCCCAAAGCCTCCACGGACACCGGCATCTCGGGCGTCACCTGACCGATCGAGAATACGTTAGCGCTCAGTGTGTCTTAATATCGATTCTAGATATTTTACGTTAACCATACTGAAAAAGCAACGAGGACCTAATTGAAAACTCAAAAGATCACGCTCAATGCAATGGAAATGCTCTGATAAATTTGTTATCAAAGGAAGTAGTATGCGATATGTATTAGAACCGAGTTAGTATATTAGTTATGTATAAATTATACAGCAATACCGCACTAGGTGTATAATTCAAATAAGGAAATAAGAATCCCACCTTAATGTGTTCCACGCCGTGGGTGGTCGAATGCAAGGCGTGCGAAGCGGGCGGCGTCAGGGAGCTCGTCTTCTGCAATTCCTTGTCGGTCAGTTCCTGAAAGACGCAACGATTTCGTCAGCACCGGCTCGAATGTAACTCGGTTCGGCGAATCGATAGATAAGAACCTGATAACTGAGAGTTTTGCTCTGCAGAGACAGACTCCTCGACAGAGCCCTCGCCCGCACCAACTTGACGGACGACACGCCCTCCACGGTCTCCGTCTCTTCCGCGTTCTCTCCTTCCAGACTGAGGAACACTTCTTCCAGCGTAGTCATGGATACGCCGTAACTAGTGATACCTGCATCATCCATAATATTATATTCGCTTTGAGTGAACAATTTCATGCCGTATCGGTAGGATGGGATCACCTAGACGATTCGTCTTCTCTTTGATCTCCGCCTCGATGGCGTGGAAGAGCGGAGGGAAGAGGTGTACCGCGTAGTGAGGCAGGATGTAGGACAGCTCCCGCCCGTGGCGACGCGCCTTTTCCGCTCGCCCCACGTGGCCGCGCACCAAGCGAGTTATCTGGTTTTCTCTACACGTGCCTGCAAATGTCCAGTCTATGAATTACGCGAATCTTCTACCTAGTACACGACTAAGCGACGTGCTCTAATCGCCACAGTAGGATCTCATTTAAAGCTAGTTCGAAAGTTGTAGCCACGAAAGTTTAGTAGTCATTGCGGTTGCACGATAGAGAAACTCACCGTCCAAAACCAACGTCAAGTGGTATCCGATACCGAATTTGTTTTTGAGAAACAGCGACGTGCCCGCACACCGCACCCTGCCTTTGCTTATGACGGCTTTTCTGTCCCCGAGGATGTCGGCCTCGTCCATGAAGTGCGTGGTCAACAGAAGCACTCGACCGCGCTTCGCCCTTTGCAGGATTCTCCAGGTCTTTCTTCTCGACACTGGGTCCACCCCGGCCGTCGGTTCGTCGAGGATTATTATCTGAATAAATCAATGTATCACTTAATTATTTTGTTAGGACAGAGAGTATGGATCTTTTACCTTTTACCAGGCTTACTTGTACGCAACACTAGAGACTCGCTCCACCGATGGATTTAGAAATGAAAAAGTATTATAATCAATATTAATTACTTTAGGATCTCCGATAAACGCAATAGCTATACTCAGTCTTCTTTTCTGGCCTCCGGATAGATGTTTCGAGAACACGTCGATTTGGTCCAATAATCCCACTTCTGATAGCGCCTTGTGAACTTCATCCGGGATTCTCTCGCTAGGTATACCCTGGACGAGATAATTACTCATTTATTCAATAGAGGTGACAGATATATTCGCCAGAGTTCAATTATATCAGTGCTCGAAACTTGAAAAGTATATCGTCAGTTGTGTCTTGAAACTCACCTTAACTGCCGCAAAAAATTTCAAGTGCTCTTTGACGGACAACAAATCGAAGAGCACGTCTTGCTGGGGACACACGCCGATCATTTGTCTAATTTCGTGCATGTCGTTCGGGTCTCTGTAAAGAAATACCGACGTCGTAACTGAGTACTATTCCTTTCGTTCGGTCGTCATCTTAAGCGCGCCCAGCTTCGTCCTCACCGAACATCTAAGCCATAAACGTAGGCCGTCCCGGCAGTCGGCGCAGTCAGGCCGGTGAGGATGTTGAAGAGGGTAGACTTCCCGGCACCGTTGTGCCCCAGCACGGCCGTTATTTGGCCTTCGTAGATGCTCAGGTCGATGCCGTCTATTGCCTTCACTTCGGCCTTACGGCAGTGGCGAAACGATTTCTGTAGGCCGACGATCCTGATCGCTTCTTTGTCCAGGAGTTCTCTGCAATGTTCATTGTCAAATTTATTATTTTACTGTTTTAAGTAGTGGCACGAGGGCTGGACTATTTCGCCATTTGTAATGAGTGAACGCCGTGCTTGCCTCGTACATAAAAAGATTCTCGGCACAATTTTGGCTATCTTCCACTCTTATCATAAATATATAAATATAATAAAATCGGTGCCTGAATAATAAAATCGATTCAGTCGTAGAAAAATTCTTAGACGTAGACTTTTCGTATATACCTAAATGCTCGAAAATGAAATTATTGTGAAACGAACAATGGTTTGAATATTAGGTTAGGCCGGTACTCACACCTACCCGACATCGGCTTACGAAACGAGATTTTAGAAATAGAATATATAACTTTGACTATAAAATAAATGTTTTATTTTCCTTTTATAAAACTCACTTCGGTACTGGTTCGATGTCCTTGTTATGCGCCGCATCTCCGTTGGAATGAAAGTGTACGGCGGAAACTCTACCTCGCCGACTTCCGAGCCAAAACGATGGCAGCAAGCAGAACCATGGTTTTTGTTTGATACCGTACTCACCTGAAACGTGTAATATTGGTAATTTTATATTAGTATTTAAAAAGATATCATAACAGACATCAACCTAATTACAATAAAGTGTCTGTAGTCGCAAAAGTTTATTTTTAAAACGTTTATTAAAAACGAAGTAAAAATGGTCAAGTGTTTCACATACTCGATATCACGGAGAGTTGCGATCGACGTTAGGTCTTGGTGTGTGAAGACAAATTACTTTTAAATGCTCTAGTCTTTCGGTAAACTTTTCTTTAGCACGTTAAATTTGATTTAATTTAATATACTCGGGGCATCAATCTCATTATTTCGTTTCAAAAGCAAATAAGAGGTCAATCGTTCGTCGGCTATCGGATCACTTATTTAGGTTAAAGTAAACTCGAAAACGAATGCCGCCAAAGACGTTCGTCTGGTTTTATAATTTACGCGAAAGGGACAAAGCACTCACTCGGTACTACTGCATCCAGCCAGTACGCAGCGAAGCCGTAGATGACGGTGTCGATCGCCATCATTATGAGGCTCCCTCCGAAGGGCACCCCTGAGCCCCCGCTCCAAAGGTTCTCCCACGTCACGCCGACGCCCTGCATGTCTAAGACGAGCGCCTGAAAGCGATACATTTCATTTATTCGTCACCATCTTTGATGATGCTTTTGAAGTTACGGTTTACCTTATCCATAGCGAGAGCGTAGCAACTGGAGCTGATGAGCGACAGAAACCAGAAGGCGAGAGAATCCGCGTTGGAAACGAACACTTGGATGAAGTAGAGGCCACTCATCAGGTTCACAGCGAAGCTACCGAGGATTCCGGCCGTCTGGGGGAAATCATCTATTCACATCTAAGTCCGACGAGCTTATTCTACTTATTAATTCTTATACAAATAAATTATAATACTACAAACAGTCTTATGGCCCATTATACTCGAAGGAGGCTTTTTACACTTTTCAAAACCCGCTTACTCTTCATGTACACTGTACATTGTAGGAAAAGAAAGAAACTCAATCAATAACCTATTAGCATTCGTTGACACTTTGCAACACGTGTCGACTGCTTGAAAACATTTCTGTGAATAGAGAGAGGTGCACTCACTCTGGCTTTATCGAAGAACGGAGTGAGCATGAAGGCGAACGTGATGATGGTGAAGCCGAACAACAGCATCAAGAGGAATATCAGGACGTAGGAAGAATGTTGAAAGACCTGCAAACCGAATGTCATATTATGCCTTAACCGATGTCCTTTCGACGGAGAAAAGTGAATTCAACTTTATTTCCTAGAAACTCACCTTCAACGTAAACAACAGGACGGTACTGACGATGGATAAGATCGTGACGAAGACGGCATAAATCAAGAACCATGAACCCCTGAAACAGTTCAACGTTATGTTTTATAAACTATTCACAGACGATCTCCCGGGGCACCGCTAGTTTGATGTTGATAGTCACGCACCAGTAGACGGAATCTTTCAAGCCCATTATCCGCATTCCTTCTCTGATTTTCTTCTCCTTTTCTCCCACAACCAGCATCAAGAGGTAGGTGATAAACTGGGAGAGCGTCATCACCATGTACATGGGCATGATCACCCGAAAGATCACCAGCCAATCGCCCGTGTGTTGGCGTTTGGGGAATTGGAGCAGGTCTATTCGTGGGGGGAGGAATTCTGTGCCAGTGTCCGACTGAAAAGACGAGCGAAGAGTCAAGAATCAGGCTTACGTATAAGTAGTAATACTAAGAGACGACTCAATGACGCGAGTACCTTGATTTTAACGTAGTCGATGAGCGTCTGCAGCGCGAGGAACCCCGTATAATAATACTGGAGCACGGGGCACGTGTCCTCTCGATGCATCTCGGACAGAGGGATCAACTGGCCCCCACGGGACCAATCGCTAGACCAGTCGGTGTTGCTTCTCTCTCGACATTTGGCCGGCGACGTAGTCAGAGTCCGAGTGGACGGTGTCCCTCCGTCCTTCGAGGGGTTGGTGCGAATCGTATACCTGCGAGTGTCTATTAATGTTGACTTGACTTCAGAGCAAACTAACAAGAATTAAAATTGACTCAGAGGGCAAATACGCGTATGTGTTGGCTTAGGCTCGCTTTAGAGTTAAAAATAAATAATAATTAATTTGTCCTATCCTTTTTTAAATAAAACACTTTAACGGTAACTTGTAACTGCTTTGCAGCAGCTGCTGCATCCGAAACGTCGGGCCGAAGTTATAAATCAAATAAGTTTAACTAATATATCGCGTTTTAAACCGTTAAAGTGTTTTATTTAAATGTGTACTACTCGCGTAAACTATAGACAGTATCTTGTCCTAGCCTTCTATTTTACATCTATACATAAATAATATTTATATAATCTATTTAAATTAACATATAAAGGGTTACTTCTAGCTAACCTAGGATAAGCCACCTAAGATAAGCATAATATAAGTTTTCATTTTGCAAATATATCGACCAATATTTACGAATAAAAAGTGTTTTGTAAGAAAGGAACCAAATATAACATCATTAATCCTTTTCCGTTACCTCAAAGGTTCTCCATAGGCCGTAGGATCCGTGTGGAAGATAACAGCTAGTGGGAAACTCTTAGCGTCACCGTGGTAGGCGTCATCCAGCTCTGTGGTGTTGTTGTACCTGATCCAGGTGATGGGGTGCTGGCCAGACTCTGATAACATTGAGTTTATGTCGTCCAAGAAGGCCTGAAACATGCGCAGATCGGTAGATTCCTTTATTTATTGTCTCCGAGCTGGTTTAAGGCCAAAGACTAGGAGCCCTGTCTTAAATTACTTCTTCTCACCGAAGTGCCATTGTGATTGTACCAATCTGCCGCGACGGCCACCACGTCATCCTCCGAAAAAGCGTCGTGGTGGATACTGAGCAGGTGCCCTGGTTTTTTAACTTCAGGGAAGTTTGGATTTGGAACCAACATCTTCAGGAATATCAGCACACCAAGAGAATATAATGGAACCAGTACCTCCTGCAAATGAATACTGGATTATCTCAATATTAGCATTATACAATATTTTGGTATATGTAGAAAATCAACAGCACTATAGTCCCTGTGATGCTCAATGCTGGAACTCGGGTTTCGACATCCTACGAGAGTGCTACCCGTAACCGGTAGAGGTCGTCATATACCACGCTGGCCGAGGGCCACTCGATAGATGACGGTCGCTTTCTGTCGTTTAGAACAATGTATTAAAAATATTAATGACGGATTCGACTCTATCCATGATTACAATTCAAATGACGCTAATACAAATTGATGTAAATCCTTTAGTTGGCTTCATCAATTGTTCCATAGTATACTAAGTAGATGAATCTATCTGAATATAGATATTGTTATGCAGTGCGTATGCGCCTTACAGCGAGAGTCTTCCTCGTATCCCTCTTTTTCAACAGCAGATTCCTGACGACTGTGGCCCACAGCTGAGGCCAGAAGGCCGCGGGTGGTCGTGTTCCCATCGCGCCTCTCAGTTTGCTGCCTATCGCTATGCAGTCTGGCTCTGTTTGGCATTTCCTGACAAATATTTGCATAAGTTATGAGAAATGTCACTTCACTTTGGATTCTAAGCTCTCCTACTGATTGCGATAGGATGTAGACAGACTGAAAGACAGTTTCAGTCTGACTATTTTATGTGACTGAATAACAGTGTATAAAGAAGCCGTTCAAAGCAGGGGTGGCGCTACGTTACGTAATTGTCGGAGGCGCCAGGGGGTCTACCTTCGTTTGGTGTCGGAGCAATTACTACGATTCGTTGGGGTGCGCACTACGTACTGACGCTCAATTTATACATTTACCATATGGAATGTAAAGGTGGGCTCCGAGTTACACGAAAACGAGAAATGTTCTCATACACATTAAGAGTTTATCTAATCTAATCCTGGAAATGTGTAGGGGCAATAAGAGCATTAATTTCGCTAAAAACAAACAAAACAATAAGTTTGTACAAATTTTATTGTATTTGTCATTGGAAAAAATATAAATGCTTTTTCAATGACACGTTTGTTTTATTCAATGCGTTTCGCGTAGAAGCTACTGTATTTAAACAAATAAGGGTTAGCAAACATTAAAGTACGAAAAGATACGTAATTTGTTTATGGAGCTGAAGTTAGGGGCCGCTTAATAGCGTCTGGAGCGCCAACGGGCAGGCGAAACCGGCACTTAAATTGTTATACTTTTTTTATTTTACTAAAACATAAGAAATAATAATTTACTTTAAATAAAATGGTCCTTAACGCATCAAAATGTTATCACATAATTTTCACCAAGAAAAAACAACCAATTCGCTCTACTTGTCGTTGGAGGTAGGCAGCTTGAAGTCGTGACGGAGATGAGAGATCTAGGAATAACACTTGTCAGCAAGCTTACCTTTATACCGCACATTAATAACATTATAGATAAGGCAGCTCGCATGTCCGGTTTTATAAAAAGATCTACAAAATGTTTTAATAAACCTCAGTCAAAAATAATAATATTTAACTCTTTAGTTCGTAGCATACAGGAATTTGGAAGCGTTATTTGGAACCCCCAGTACTCTTGTCAACCGCCTTTTCACCAAACATCTTTGCTCCATGACTAGAGACATTAGTTTTAGAGTCAATTACGAAACCAGGTTACAGCACTTTGAACTTAAGAAGTTATCCGATAGACGACGAATTTTGGACCTCTTATTTCTTTTAAAAATTTTAAATAATAAGATTGATGCCCCGAATATATTAAGTAAAATCCAGTTGAATGTACCAAGAAAAAGTTAAAGACTGAAACACTTAAAAGTATTTTATCTTTATACACAAAAGTCTAACGTAGGTAGATACCGTCCATTTCTCCGTGTATGTGAGACCCTTAACAACGTCACGCGAGAAACCGACGCTGATCCTTACTTTGATTCTTTTACACGATTTAAAAATAAAGTATTGCGACTATAGACACTTTATTATAATTAGGTTCGAATTCTGTACTCTACATATTTCGGAACACTAATATTTAAGTTAACAATGCTGTGTACATCAGTAATTGGGTCCTACATAGGTATTTTAACTTATTGTGATGCTAAGTATAATGAACACACAACAGATCATTTACATGTAATGTAAATGATCTGTTGATGTACCATAATAAATAAATAAATAATAACTTATCGTAGTCATATAAGAGTTATATGAAGTTATTATTTTAAAAATAGAAAGTTATATATATATATAGAAAGATAGATAGTTAAAAATAGGGATGTCGGTCCTTTTTATCGGTATTGTAAACATGGAATATTTTTGCTGACAGTACCTACAGGCTATTCGCAAGATGCTCCCTTTGTGTCTTAAATGATGGAGAAGGTTAAAAACGCGATATATATTAGTTAAACTTGTTTGATTTTTTTTTAACTTGATGCGCTGCAGCAGCCGTGGTCACGAGCAGGATAATTTGAGGCCGTCCTATCGAACACCTTGGACTCCATTTAAAAACCTCTGGATTCTCTGGATTCCAATTAACAGCATACCGACAAAAGCGTTAAAAAGACAAAGACACCGTTAGTCAGTTCTGCAAGGATCTGGCCAGTTTCGTCAAATACCAACTTCGACGGTACAGGTGGCGCTAGCGTAGCAAGTTTTACTTTGACGTCAGAGACATCTTCCATCTTTAGTCTCCCCGTGACCACGGCTGCTGCAAAGCATCCGAAACGTCCGGCCGAAGTTAAAAATCATTTTCAAATAAGTTTAACTAATATATCGCGTTTTAAACCGTTAAAGTGTTTTATTTAAATGTGTACTACTTCTCCAAGTTTGAAACAACGAAGTTGAAATACATTTTTTTAAATATAGGTACTTACTATCCGCACTTAAATCCCCTTATACTCCTATTATCATTATTATTACAATTTTCATGGTCAGACTTTATACTTGAATAAATAGGTAGGTATATATAGAAAAAGCGTCTAGTATGAAATTTTCCGGAAAGTTCATTTGGTGTTCGACATAGCCTTTACCATACCCTCGGGAATAAATCCCGCCCCGCGACCTTTAGACGACCTTCTCAGCTCTGACGTCAGATGCCAGAAGCCCTAAGTATATTAGTACTGCAGTGAGAAATAAAGGACTACAGATCCGACTAAACGAAGCGGGACCCGACACCCTCCATGGCCTGCGTGTCGGCCGAACGCATTCAAAAACAATTGTGATGCGACCTACATCTATGTGCTTCGTCGGGTCGAGAGGTCGGCTTTGCAAGACACGCCGGTCAGTCGCAGCCTGATGCTTCATAAAGCCTAAAGCTTTCCTCGATAAATGGTCCAACCGGCATAAAAATAATGTTTCAATTCGAGACAGTAATGAGATTAGCGCCTTCAAACAAACACACTAATTCGTCAGCTTTATAATATTAGTATCGACACATCGGTGCTTCCATTACCCGTCGCTTGAACCGCCCGGTGTTTTGGACGGCTCTAATTGTACGACAGGAAAATATTGACATGTAGGGAAATGAAAGTTGTCGCAGCAGGTGCAAGTTTCCCCTGATTGCGGTAAGCGAACGCTGGTCACCCTCGATTCAATGAACCCTCAACGATTCGCTGACGTCAGGTAACAGTCGTGGACTGACGATAGGGTTAAAAAAGTTTGCCTATTTTAGCTTATGTAGTATTATCCTTTTTAACTATTGCGCATTAAATGGACCTTTCATAAAACTAAACTAATACATATTACAAAGCCGAAGACTTCGTTTGAACGCGCCAATCCCAGGAACTACTGGTTTGAATTGATAAGAGATCAGGCCTCCACCAATTGTAGCAAAGAAACAATGTAAAATGTGGAACAAACGGGGAAAATCTTTGAGAGTTTCCATTGCGTGGGCTGCGAAAACGGTAAGGATATAATACTGTCTATAGTTTACGCGAGTAGTACACGTTTAAATAAAACACTTTAACGGTTTAAAACGCGATACATTAATTAAACTTATTTGAAAATGATTTGTCTATAGTTACGCGAGTAGTAATCATTTCCAAATAAGTTTAACTAATATATCGCGTTTTAAACCGTTAAAGTGTTTTATTTAAAAAAAAGACTCATCAAAATCGATTCATAAACGACGCAGTTACATGTTAAACATGAAAAGCATATAATATGTACTTTAATTATAGGAAGGTTAATAAAAATAAAACGAATGACTATCGTTAGCTTTGGAAAAGTATAAGACATTATTTTAATATCTGAACGAAGCACCTGACTGAGACTGGCGACGGTCCATATTCTTTACTCTAATAGGCGTGTAGTGGGTCTCAGGCAGACAGAACGGCGAACCCGCTCCCCTACATCTCAATTGAAAGACTCTCCTTCAGTCATTCCCTTGGCCCCTGAGCGACCGAATAACTTCGCACACCGAATATTGGATAACAAGACGTGCTGAGTTTTCGACATCAATTTAAAAATATGCAAGTATTAATTAGTAATAATAAAATAAGCGTCTCCGTTCTCAGCGGACATCGTATCTTTGTCTTAGTTGTTGTGTGCACTGACATTGGAATGAGAAAGAATTAGAAGTAATTTTTCAATGTCATTGTAAAAGTTAAACGTGTCGATTAAAGATTGTATAAATCTTAAGAGGCTAGGAAGCTATAGTATCCTGAAAAAATGTTAGATTGAGGTATATAGAGCTGTATAAATAATTATATATATTTTACCAACCTAGATAATTACTTCGTAGATGGGCATATTACGCGTACGAGAACGAGTTCGAAGAGAGAAAAACAAAACATTGTTACGTAGAGTTGCGTCGCTTGGCTCGTTTCCAATAGACGACAAAATTCAATAAAACTCTTCTTAATTTTGCTTCGCGGATATTATTATATGAAATAAAGCATCGCGGGTCACTTTTAATGCGCTAATTACCGAAAAACGTAGAAAATATCTTTAATTTTCTGAGCTTGAGTACAAGGACTGAAGAGTTAACAGTTGCATTCTCTACGGTCGAGATGACATTGGACAGTCTCATATCATTTCAGGTTACAGTATACCTAGAAATGATATAGATTTTGTGGCAGCCTTTCTTCCGCAGACCGATGCGACATTTTGCATAGATTCTTTTCCTTCATTTTAATTTACTTGGCGTTCGCTTTGCCGTCTACGAATGTCGTTTTAATTTCGATTTTCGAAATGTGATATTAAAGGCGCCGCAATCGTCTCTTTAAAACTATGCGGTAGTAGGCGGATGTCTACTGTCGGTGATTAGTGATTACGTATATGCGTATCTTTTATATCGTTTAAAAATTGATCATTGGGCATAAAAACTTTCGACTAACGTTAGCTGTTCCGTACTCGCCGGTGAATGGCGTCCATTCCTCGCACTTCCCAGCACTCCATTGCGGTCACTCATGCAACACAATGTAACACACGAGCCGGTTAAGTACTAAATATCGGGTGTTCACAGCGATAACATATTTAACACACGAACGGCACATTAACTCCGGGTTGGGAACGAGAACAAAATGCTTTTAATCGAACGCAGGACACGCGCCCCGATCGGTCTTCCGCGCCATCTTGAATTGGGGCCCGAGAGCCCGAGACCGTTTCGCGCGCGCGCGAATGAATCGCCTTCCGGTGTTACTACACCGTGTCGCTTTGCTTAATCGTTTGCACAGTTGGGGCGGTTTCTGAGGGACATAAAGTTTAATATGAATTATAATTTATCGGACTTTCAGACACTTTTAGCATTAAAGTAGATAAACAGATTTATTAATGTTTTCTTTAAACAGCGCGCGACTGGACTCGATCACAGAAATAAACGGGCTACAATTACAGTCAACGGCGCGCCGACACATTAACGCGCAAGCGTAATGAAACAACTGCAATACGACGTGGTACGATATCGTTTTGGTTCCATTGATACCTTCTACATTCCTTTGTTACGCATTTGACGTTTCAATTCATCGTGTTTTTAACAGGTATTTTATAATACATTCAGTTGCTTGTAAAACGACCTTAAAATGTTTTTCATATTTTTTTTTTCGAGTGTACCTATACGTCACGGTCTACATTGAGAACCGAAAACAATAATATATAAAGCAGTCGTTTAATAAAGGAGAATAATATAATAGTCAAGTACCCAATTGAAATAATGAAATTATATGTCTATAGACCCACTTTTAAACGTATGTGTATAGAATTGTAATAAACATTCGTTGTCACTTAAAGAAATCATTTATTAGATTACAACAGAAAATTTTCCTCAAAATACCCACTTCCTTCTTCCTCGGAAGGAACCCAGTCGAAGTCGATTCCCGTAACATCGGTAAACCATTCGTGGTAGTGGCCCGGACGAATGAAGCCTGAAAACAGATAGATAGCGGTCTGAGCGAACTTCTTTTATTTAGTTGACTAATAGTTTTAGTCGAATTGGAGTAACCGCTCGACTCTTACCGGCCGGATGGATCGTGTGACATCCCGATCCAGACACAAAAGAGGCGATTCCCACTTGCGTCACTTTACCATCAAAGTCCGCCGCAGTTAATCCACCGCCACTGTCACCCTGAAATTAGATACGATTCGGGTGTCTAAAGTAATTCACAACGAAGTGGTAGGGTGTATAGCAGCTCTTCAAAGATGGATTTAAGTCTCACCTGGCACACGGACTGGCTCGTAACGTTGTAGTAGCGAGCGCAAATCGTAGAGTCGACAATGATAGAGGAGCCGATGTACGATTGTCTGCACTGAGCGTTAGAGACGCCTCGTAAGTAGACCCAGTTCATCACCTCGGGGGACACACCTGCAATAGAGGATGACGTGGAAGAGCGGCGCCAAAGGTCGTGCTGTTTACAAAGAAATATGAACTTCAGTTTGTCTCACCTTCGGTCCAGTTTCTGCCCCACCCGAAAGCGGTCAACACGATGTCTTGGTAATTCTTGTCCTTGTCCGCCGACGCTTGGAGTCTTATCGGTTGGATTAAATCTAAAGTAATGGAAATTAATTACGATTAACTTTTTTCTGCAGATAAGTTTACTTCAGAGTACCTACCCGTGTACTCGACGCGTCTCGGGAACTTGATCAGGGCGATATCGTGAGGCTGCACGAAGGGAAGAGTGTCAATGTATCTAGGATGGTTATAATACTCGGTCGTCTCGAACATCATTGAAGGCGTCTTTATGTCCGTCGCTCCCACTCGGACGACGAGGGTGATGCGCCTACAAACATTGGTCGGTCATTAGGGTATTCTCATACCGGTATGAGGAACAGATCGGTCTCGTTGTCGGTCGAATGAGAAATGCGACTCACTGCGCCGGACAGTGGGCGGCCGTCAAGGCCCACAGATTGTGGATCAGAGTGGCTCCGCAGCCGCCCACTCGGCCGGTCTGGCCGACCATGCGCAGGGACAGCTGGTAGGGGAATTGGCCCTCGTGCGCCTCCCACCCGGACACGATGCGCCCTTGCCAGCCCGAAGACGACTCGTAGTCTGAAATGCGACGTACGCGAGTCGAGATCGTAGTCGTGGAAATCTTTGTTTCACGCAAAATATTAAGTAAATACGATTACCTTTCGAGCTAGCATGATAAACAGGGACGTTCTCGCCTAAAGCCTGCAATTCAAAAGTACACAAGGAATCTCGAGAATTACGCAGAATATAGCCCTACAAAATATTTAAGGAGTTGGAGCTGTCGTACGAACCAGAACAGTACTTAAGGAAGAAACCAATAAAGCCCACAACATCCTCGACGCAGCCTTCCAAGACTATTGTCATCTATTTCTTTCGAAAAGTTCATAAAGTAATTAATAAGTAATTAAAAGAATTACCAGATAAACACGAGGATTACGACGATAATACGATTTGTATCGCGTCTCTAATCTGAGGCGTTCGTGTAATTATTAGAGATGGGTTAAAGAGATCTAAGCCGAAACCGAATATCTTCCGAAGTTTCGGCTATTTTGTATAAAGATTGGCTCTATATTGTAACTTAATACTTAATTTATGATTATACAGATGTTTCTTAGCAAGTATCATATATTTATAAGCCATATATTTTTCTATTTGCGATATTATAAACGATGAGAACCAAATGAACCAAAAGAAATGAATTAATTGTCTCAATCGTCATTTCCTTTGTAAGTATTCCCAAAATTGTAACTTAACCAGTCCGTTTTTCTACCCAACGCAACTATCTATAATATATATATATATAATATTTCTGTATATATATAATACGTTACAAAAATTTTGGCTTCTATATTCTGGTATATATTCTAAGCCCAGATAACAAACGAAGTGTAAAATATTTATCAAAATAATCCTTTCCGTATCTCTAGCATTGATTGATGGGAATTAAATTATTATTTGGCCTAAAAGTTAATTATTTCCTTAAAAGGTAACGCTTACCCCCAAATCCGATAAGACTAATAAGTATTTGGTCCTAATAAGTTATGTCGAAATATACCTAATACCTATTTCCGTGTCTCACTGCCTCACTGTGAAAAATATCTCACGCCTTGTTTCACAAAAACCAAGTTTAATAGAATTATCTGCAAACGCACTTTATTACGAGATACTCAGGGAAAGCCGTAGAAAAACTTAAATATATTAATTATTTACTATTTATAACACAATACTACAGAAAAAAACACATAAAAAGGGAAAACATCTTACGTAGCAACTTATAAATAAATTCAAAATAAGTGGGTAGGTGTAAGGAATAACAAGCAAAAAAAAAGGTACATCGTAAAAGTATACATTGCGCTATAGCGATAGCGCTATGTATACTTTTACAATACGTTATTTTCTCCCCCACTAGTTATCTAGTGGGGGAGAAAATAACTTAAGAGTTGGAAAGAAAACTCGTAGAAGAACGGAGAGGTTGAGCTTTTCCGATATTAGTAGGAAGAGAGCGTATAGTTCCGAATCGAGCGAGCGGGCTTTAACGATAGCGGAATTAATAAAGAAAGATGTTTTATGGTTAGGAAGAAATAAGAGAAGGTTGTCGATAGAACGGAGATTTAAGTTTTGGGAACTCAAAAGAACGCATAACTCTTTTAGATATACTTAAAGACTTATTAGTAAAGGCCTTTATGGAGTCCGTGAAATAAATATATAATTGTGATTGTGGTCTTTTATTTTCAAACAAATAAAAAATATAAAGTATATGCTAAAAAAGTAAAATGCCAAATAAAAATTCAAAATTAATTAGATGCTTTTATTCTATTATTCAGGGCCGCTTAGAAGAGGAATCCTTCATCGAAAAGCCCGCTTCCATCTTCTTCTTCCTCCGGAACCCAGTCGAAGTTCATTCCCGTCACTCGCTCGATCCAGTCGTGGTAATGACCGGGGCGAATGAAACCTACGTGCAGTTCGTCATAAGTAGAGTCGTCTCAGTTCATAGTTTTCCCATAGTTAAGATCGGCTTAAAGACCGACGAAAGCCGTACGTACCTCCTGGCTTTTCCGTGTGGCAGCCGTCTCGATGGACGAAGGAAGCGATACCGATCTGCGTCACTTTGCCATCGACGTCTCGTACCGTGAGGCCACCGCCGCTGTCGCCCTGAAAGATCGAAAATAAGTAATTATTCCTCGGAAGTCAGTCCGATAACGTGAAGATTCGATTTCGATTCTCTACCTGGCACACTGACTGGCTAGTGACGTTGAAGTATCTGCCGCAAACGGTAGAATCTACGATAGTCGACGATCCGCCGAAGTCGAGCTTGCATTGTGCGTTCGAAACTCCTTTCAAGTACACCCAGTTCATTATTTCGGGTGAAACGCCTGAAATTTGTAATTTTTAAAATATGGTTCGAAATTAAAAAGTCATAAGTTCCCGGCTTTTCCAATTATTAAAAAGTCACAAGTTCACCCTCCGTCCAGTTCCTGCCCCAGCCGAAAGCCGTGAGCGTGATTCCCTCGTAGTTCTTGTTCTTGTCCGCCGACGCCTGGATCCTAATGGGTTGGATTAAGGCTGAAAAGACAAAATGGATATCAGCCCGATTAGCGTCATCGCCCGAGAGTTAATAGAACGAAATGGTTTTGAAACGTACGGGTGTAGTCGACGCGCCTGGGTAACTTCACCAAGCTTATATCGTTGGGTTGTACGAAAGGGGCGCTTTCGATGTATGTCGGGTGGAGGTAGTACTCGGTCGTTTCTAAAAGGATACGAGGAGTCTTCAGGTCCGTCGCTCCCAGACGCACCACTAGGGTCACACGCCTGAAAATATCGTTAACACTTTCAAAACCGAGCGTCCCTTTAAATACAGAACTTCTGTATTTATTAATATTTCAAAACTTTAATCCTGGTTAAAAGCGTCGAGCAAAGTTCATTTACAGCAGAACTGCTAAATATACTTATAAGGCTAGACGCCCGAACAGCCCTATAAGCTTTACGCGACACTCACTGAGCAGGGCAATGGGCGGCGGTGAGAATCCACTCGTTGTGGATGAGGGTCGCTCCGCAAGCCGTCACTCTGCCGAATCGATTCACCATTCGAAGGGACAGCTGAAATGGGAACTGGCCTTCGTAGGCCTCCCATCCGGACACGATGCGACCTTGGGACGCCACCGCATCCTCGTAGTCTGTGCGAACACTTCGTGTTTTGAAATAAACTCGTTTTCTTTCGCTTAAGATATAATATGACGTTGCGTTACCTATCTAATCTTAAATACTAAACATAACGCGACATGTCGACATCTAAAAGGCGGAGGAAGACATCATTTTAAGGTGATCTGTGACGCGATAGAACTGACCAAACTAAATTATAAACGAAACTATTTCCAGAACGATCCCACTCTGCTGCGATTCACAAAGAACGTTCATAATGTTTCCAATTTGTTATCACTTCTAATCTACCACTAACCGACAATACGACAATAAAATGAACTATCGTCTCCATTTTGAAATATCGAATATAATGTTACATACCTTGTGAAGTTGCGTGGTACACCGCCTCATTAGCGTAAGCCTGCATTGCAAAAGAAAACACATTTTCTTGAATGACAAATGTTATTAATAGATTATTTTTAATAGGTCGTAAAGCGCGCGAGGAGATCTTTGATTTTCTTTCGAACACTCTTTTTAGCAATAGTAATTGTATTTATTTCGTTATTAAAAGCTGTTTGTGTTCAATTTTTACTTCGCCGGGGCGAGCACAGAAAATGGGTGTTTTACTTTATAATTACACGTAAATGCTAAACGGAGTGAATAATTTCACTCTTCAGAGAAGAATATCAGTCAAAATAGAACATACCGAGACGGCTAATGTGAGAAGAAAGAGAGCTCTGAACATCTTTTAAGCTCCCAATTCAAACAAACAGTAAGCTATCTTTGCGATTTGTGGTGGTTTAAATATTTCCTTATTCGAAGATAAGAGTTGGCTTCGAGCGATTATCTGGTTACATTCAAATCGGTCGTTATGACTGACGATTGTACTTAGTCCTCGGTAGAAATAGTAGCCCATTTGCCTGACTCCGCTTGACTGCAAAAAAATATCCCATCTTTTCCGTTTTTGTATCCAGCGCAGCGCCAAATACTGTCTACAGCAGATAAACACCGCGCTTTTAAAATAAGCTAGTTTCGTTGTATTGGTTCTGTACTTTGGCCAATAAACTATGAAGAATTATAATTTATTATTTTTAACGCTAACTTGATAGGTTTTATATTAAATTTGATCGGCAAACGAAAATGGGTTTTGTCAATTTTCTTCCCTTCGAAGTACATAGTACAATTGTTCATACATACATAATCAACGAACAGATTTGAGCTTGTAAATTATTTAATTTTGTCCTAAGTATGACGGATGATATCAATCAGGGATTTCCTTTTTATTGTTATCATCATCCATTACTGTTAACGACTGTAAATATTTGTAATCGATAAGACAGATATGGGTCATTACATACTTTAGTTGGCTCCTAGTCTGTAAAGAAGGTCCTATCGGTTGAATATGTAATTCACACGAGAGCTGACATTCATTGAAGGAATGTTACATCAATAATAATAATAAAACACTTTATTGCACAAACAAAATACAAAAATAGTAAAACTAAAATAAATATTTACATAAGAGTTAGTGCAAGGGCGGCCTTATCGCCTATGACGATTTCTTCCGGCGGACAGCCTGTACAGAGTCATGGCATTTAGATGAATGAGTAGGCATAGAAAGGAGACGGTTGTATGAGGAACGAAGGTCAAGTTCATGGGAAGAACCCTTATGGTATAAATATAAACCTTTGTTTAAGATAGGAAGGAGTGCGAGGATCGAAGAGAATACAGAAAAGAAGACAGAGGATGAGAGTGAGTGTTAACCATTTAAGTTTAGCACGGAATTCTGACACGTGGTCGTATTTCCGTAGACCAGAAATAAATCTTATTGGAACATTTTGAAGGCTCACCAACTTATTTACTTGTTCCTCGGTTAGATCTAAATAACAAACAACGTCATAGTCGAGTAAGGATATCAAGATGAATAGGCAGAACTTTTGTAGACGGCGCAGCATATTTGCAATGCCGTATACTTTTCAACTAACTTTGTTTATCTAATCGTTCCATGACAGAGTGGCGTCAATATAGATCCCGAGATTCTTAACCGACTCATGGCACCATGTATACTTATAATGGCGGCTCTACACGATGGCGGAGTTATTGGCAATAATAATGTATTAGCCAATACGTGTAGGCCATTGTGTAGAACGGGGGTTGGTGGTCTATTTGGTAGGTATTGGACTATTGGCCCACGCATTGGCGCGAGATCCGTGCGGTGTCGGTTTTTCTACGCAGATCAAAGGGTTATGGCGGGATTGTGGCACAGTGATGACCGTAGCGTCCACACGTTGGCGTTCCATTGACATTTCATCGATGCTTTCTTAAGTAAGTAGTTATTTTTTAGATGTTGAACTCAAGACTAATGCCAAGAACTACGGCGATATTGAAACGTGCAGTGTGTACGCAAGAACAAGATGTATTTGTTGAGAAAAGAGTTAAGAAGAGTTATTTGAAAATCTGAATAACGCAGGAATAATCACATTAAATATACCTAAAGCTTTAAATTCTTTAAATACTTCTATGGTTACAAAACTTCTTTGCCAACTGCAAGAATGGGAAAACAAGAAAACTCTGGTAATCGTCAAAGGGGCCGGTGACGAAGCGTTCTGCGCAGGCGGAGATGTAAAATCCGCGATAGATAGAGTTGAAGGGCCACGATTCTTCCACATTAAGTATAATGTCAATTACTTGATTGGGAAATATAAGGTCCCATATATAGCTCTTATGAGTTTCGGTGCACGGTCGGTACACAGTGGCCACTGAAAAAACAATTGTAGCCATGCCCGAGACTAAAATTGGCTTGTTCCCTGACGTCGGAGGATCCTACTTTCTCCCTAGACTACAAGTTAATATGGGAATGTATTGAGGTCTCACTGGTGAGTGATGGACAATAATAATATTAATTAAAATATTAAACTTCTCAACATGCTATTTCCATTTTAATGTTTTAAAATTATAGTAAGACTGTAAATAAAAATTAGGTCTAGTTAAATAATGCTTTTCACAAAGTTTTATCTAAGTGTCAAATGTGAGGTAATGTATGTAAAAGAATTGAACTTGAATTGACTTCACGGCTTCGAGAGTGAAAGTTTGTTGTATAGTTGTTGGGTTATTATGGGTTAATCCTTACTAATATTATAAATGCGAAAGTAACTCTGTCAGTCTGTTACTCTTTCACACCAAGACTACTGAACGGACTTGAATGAAATTTGGTACACAGATGGTCTAAACCCTGAGAAAGAACATAGGCTAGCTATAAGTTTTTATTGCGAAAAGGGGATTGAAAGGGGATAAAGGGGGGGTGTGTATTGTATGGAAATTCGTGATTTTTGAAGTAGATCAATGAAACTTTCTTCTTTGGCTTTTTGGGAATAGGAGGAGTGGAGTACAGAGGAGTGATTGAGGTGAGAGTGCTGCGGCAAAGTACACTCAATATAGATTGGCTGCGATAAATGGCAATTACATCTATATCTAAGCGAAGATTTTGTTTGTTTGTTTGAACCGCTAATCTCAGGAAGTACAGGTTCGAATTTAAAAATTATTTTTGTGATGGTTAGAGATACATAAAAATTGTGTAAGAAAAATAATTCCCCTTTAAATGATATATGTCTATCTTTTAAGATTAACTGGCAAGAACGACCCGAACGACGGGATGCGAATATCGTGGGCAACAGCTATATACACTAATATTATAAAGAGGAAATATTTGTATTTTGGTATGTATCGGATAAACTCAAAAAGTACTGGACCGATTTTAATAATTCTTTTTTTCATTAGAAAGCTACATTACCACTGAGTAAAATAGACTATACTTAGTAGTAGATTACGATAGAAATCTTTAGAAATTTCTATTAAAAGCAACGGGAGGTGTAAAAAAAATTGCCATAAAATGTCTTTCATCGCATACGCTGCGAAGAGTATTAATGATAGGACAAAAAAATGTTCTACAATATTATAGAATATATCAATATCTACAAAAAAACATCGCGAGACTTATTAGTCTAACTATTGTACTTACATCACTATAACTACTTTTTTACATATTTTAACAAAGTGATAGAAATGCCGAACAAAATCAAACCGTGTTATCCATACCATTTATACATTTTTATTTAAATAAATCTATACTAATATTATAAATGCGAAAGTAACTCTGTCTGTCTGTCTGTCAGTGCGGCTTTAACCCGAAACTGCTGAACTGATTTAAATGAAATTTGGTACACAGATATTCTAGAGCCTGAGAAAGGACATATTATACTACTTTTTATAGGGTGCTAATTAAACTCGCTTCTTTTTAATATCACTATTCGCCTCCAAAAATGTATGTTGCCTTCTAAATTACTAAGTCAGCCACATTTAACGAGCATCTAAATAATGCTATCTTAGCCACTAGTTATCTTCTATGTAAACCACTCTAAATACAATTCAGCATGATGGTTATTTTTTAGCATTTAAATTTATAACATGCATTCATACCGCGAAATTCTAAAATACTATTAAATGATATCAAAAAATATATTTATTTAGCTTCTAATTTTTTAACTCAGTACATTTAAAATGTAACTCATCCCATATTAATTGAACGACAAAATTTTGGCAAAATTGACATTAAATGTTAATATATTGGCCACTAATATTACCAGAAGCTATTGAGGAGAGACAAAATAAAAGTGTTTATTTTTGAAAAATCAATTTGTTTATTGAATTACCATCATTTGACTTATAGTAAATAATAGGAACATAAAAATAATGTAGTCGGTACCTAATCAAAAAAGGAAATTAAACCATTATTGGATTATTAACGCAGCTCGCGCTTTTGTTGGCCTTCCACGCTTTCTTTTTAATCCTAGTGGTTGTGACTTTGCCTCTAATGGAGGCGTCACGTATTTCAGTCTGATTGCAAGGCCTATCAAATGCTTGCAGCTGTACTTGCGATAAAAGTCTGGACAATCACAGCAACCAGTAATCCACTCGGTCTGATTGTTCGGTAGTATTACGTTCCAAGATGAAAAAAACACTTTTTTGTATTCGTCAAAACACCTGAAAGTCTTCTCAGCTTGATCAATTTTGAATGAGTTGTTGCCTGGAATTAAATATGTGGTGCTGGCTGGTGTTGAATGTACAACTCTAATTTTGGTATCAGTTTTCGCCCATTGATATCCTGTTGTCCAATCTGATAACTGCAATTGAGGTTGTGTCGCAAATTTTTCTTCTGTTGCTTGTACTGACCAGTTATTAACCATTTCCTCTGCCACCACAAGGAAACGGGCCAACGGTATACGCTCGCAGAGAGTGTTGTGGTCTTTTATAACTCTATTAAAAGACTCGAGTGCGTTGTTCGTCGCTGGTGATATTGGTGCTGCACCCTAATACCAATTTGGGTTTTTATTAGCCATTCTTTTTTAAAATATTTTAGGAATGCTTTTTGGTCTTTCCATTTCTTCAAGAACGACTTTGAAGCAGCAAAGCATCATGCAGTGGCTATTTTCACGATAAAAGAATATGATATATTATTTTACATGGTAAGTTATAATAAATGATGTTTTTTGTAGAAGCTTGAATTATATTTTTTTGAGGACATTGCGTTGAAGTTGTAAAACGTAAAATGGTGACGAGATGTAAAATCCGTGGCCGAGTTAGTAAATTAGATGGCAATATATAAATAAGAAGACAAGTCACAATTATTGATGATCTTTACTTGACGCTTTCTATACAATATTTAGTTGGCGTTGTAAAAAAGACGAATCAGTTTATTAGAGGCTATGTTATTTTCCCGTTGCTTAGTTATAAAATTAGAAGTTTAATCACGTGTCCAATAAACAATTTTGTTGCTAGACTTATAATTTCCCCTTTTTATATACTACTACATACTACTTTTAATACCAAAAAAACGTTGATGAGGGTTGAAAAAGGGAATAAAAGTTTGTAAATTCGTGGTTTTTGAAGCTAGAACAATGAAACGTTCTTCTTTGGCTTTTTGGGAATAGGAACAGCAGTGGGAGTGGGAGTGAAGCGGCAGAGTTGCACTTACAACATAGATTAGCTGCCTTAAATGCGCCCTTACATAAATTAATAAACAGCCTGAATAATTAAAAATTCTGCCCCAAGTCACTATTCCACGCGGACGAAGTCGCCGGCACAGCTAGTTATTCTATAAGCAAAGTGCATAATGTAGCTTTATACAGCTTATATTTTTGTAGTGAGTGTTAGTAACACGTAACTCGTTGTATTGTGTGAGATAAGAGACTATACATATTGAAATCAGCTGTTTCGTGTTTGACAACAAGTGCCTTTGGTTGATGTGTACTACCCGTATTGTTGGTATCGGAGAGGAAAAAGGTTTATAGCAAGACAAACAGTTTGGACTTAAATTATCTTGGCGTTCGAGTGAAATCCGCAAAAATCACTAAAGATAGTGCAAGTGTTTTGGCAACTTTCTTAAGCAAAGTTAAAATCTAACAAAAAGTGTATGTATAATAGCGCCATCTGGTGATTCACTTTTGAATTTGAATACGAATTATAGTGAAATGCCCAATCCATCAAGACAAAGGAACTATGTGTGCGAAGTTCTTTGCGATTGCTCTAGATGGCGTTCGATGCATTACGATCCGTTTTGTTGGTATCGGAGAGGAAAAAGGTTTATAGCAAGAGAAACAGTTTGGACATAAATTATCTTGGCGTTCGAGTTAAATCCGCAAAAAATCACTAAAGATAATGCAAGTGTTTGGGCAACATTCTTAAGCAAAGTTAAAATCTAACAAAAAGTGTATAAAACGAAATAAATTATTCCAACGACATGCCCGATCAATTAAATAAATTTATCTAATGTGTGCGAAGTTCTTTGCGATTGCTCCAGATGGCGTTCGATGACAAAGACTGTAATTTTCACTTGCATAAAAATTGCCCAAAAGCAGTAAGTCCAAGTTCGAAAAAATGCTACAAGCCGTGTCTGATAGCTCGCTCGAAGAATAATCGAGATTATGTTGCTGCTAGCAGCATACCTCATAACGATGCGACTACGCCCGGTGATATTGGTTCTTTAGCATTATCAAGTGACGTCGTCGCTTCATCGTTCGAGGAGTTAAAAGATCAAATCTTATCCCTTCGCACGATTATTATCGACTTCAAGTCAGAAACATAATCTTAACTCACTAGAGCAAAAGCCGTGTGAAGCAAGATAATATGGAATCTAGAATATCTAAACTGGAAGAGAGCGTGCTTCAGCTGGGGGCTAATAATCAGCATAGCTGTGAAGTAAACGGTGAAGTAGAACTATTGAAGAGACGCCTGAATCAGTCTGAACAGCAATGCCTCATGAATGATGTGGAGATCGCGGGAGTTTTCGAGGCGAACGGCGAAAATACTGAGCACGTCGCGATTTCATTGGCTCAAATATTAGAATTATTTGAACGTCTCGTGTATAAAAAAAGAATTGCTTATGTGAAAGACCTGTTTGTGAATTACTTTGTAAGACAATATGGTAAATAGTAGAGAAAGGTTAAAGGTTGGACTCTTGAATCCAGGGTCACTAGGAAGGTGGACATACTAGCCGTAAAGGAGACGTGGCTTCGGGAGGGAGAGACGGGACGCGCTCCTCAGGTGACGGGTTACAGGCTTCGACATATTCCCCGCCCACCGTCGGTTCGCACTCGCGGTGGAGGCGTAGGTTTTTACATTAATAAAATGATGTCTGTTCGTTTATTGTCACATCCTGCTGTAAATCTAGTTGTGTGTGATAACAGATGTGGGTGAGAACTACCATTCGGGGCAAACTGCATATAGACCGCCTTGGTTCGATGGACAGCTATTTCTTAATAAAATAAAAAATAAAAAAAATGCTCCGGTGTCGGAAGTGGCAGTCGATCACATAAGAGATTTAAGCATGACTGCTTGCGTTTGTATTTTGTACTTTTAACATAATTAAGCAAAAATTTAAACCTAGTTGGATCTCGTTCCGCGCTTTAAAGGATATTAATATGGAGAGTTGTAATAATACGCTTTTAGCTACTTCTCGGGAGACAATTCCGCATTTAGCAGACGTGGACAGTAAGATCTATTATCTTTTTACGTCTTATCTCAGCACATTATTCGATTTTTATGCACCTTGTAAATGGGTTTTTGCTAGACAACGTCACTATCCATGGGTGACATATAATTTAAAATGTATGATGAAGACCCGCGATGAAGCATACATTAGGGCTAGGAAGAGTAAATGAGAATCACATATTAATCATTATAAAGACCGCAAAAAACAGGTGAATGTGGCGCTATTTATCGAAAATAAACTTTACTTCGATAAATATGTAAATAACTCCATTAACCAACCAAAAAACCTATGGATACACATTAAGGCTCACGCACGAATTAAACCTCCTAATTTAATTTTATTTTATGGTTTTTCACCAGATGCAGCCAATTGGTTTAGTACTGTCGCTGTAATACGAGAAGATACGGTACGACTACGATTTCTCTCTCTATTTTGGAACCTTTTATATTTATTCTCTATTCAGCAGATATTGAGTCACACTAAATACACTGTCGTTTCCATATGTATCCTGATGATATACAACTCTATTACTCTTTCTACTTCAAAAGCTATTTCTGACGTTAATTCGGATTCGTCGAATTCTCTTATTCTAAATCCCACAAAAACAAAAATTTATGGCGTTGGGATCACAAGATCCAAAATATTTCGCCTATCATTATCCATTTCCATAAATAGCCAAGCCAATGTGAACGTGGCCATGAGTATTGAAGTCTGCGTATACTTTTTGACGAAAATCTTCGATTTGAAAACCAAATTTAATTATGAGGATGCTGTATATGGGCTTAGACTCTTCGCGCGGTCAAAGCAGGCCATACACAGGGTATAAAATGCTTGCATCCGATTTCGTTGGGGTATACCCCCCCGAAGCCATATAACTCCATATATTGTCAAGGCGAACATACTCAACATGGAAAACAGGAGACGTTTGCATATTGCTGCCCTACTCTATGACGTCATCTTGTCCAAGGCGCCTCAGTACCTACTTGTACGTAAATTTTTAATGTAATTTTTTTTATAATTTTAATTTAGCTTGTTTTTGTTGCAACACAAGTGTGTTCGTAATATTATGCTCAGTGACTCCTGTTTTACGAGTTATTATTATTATAATTATAAAAGTGTCATATCAAAGTAAACTTTTTAAAACAGCTAATTTAATGTTCAAAGCTTCATTCTCTAGAAATAAAATAAACTAAAGGTTTTGCATTCATTTTAACTAAAAAGCTAATTCACAAAAACAAATTCACAAAGAAAATTCGATAACATGCACTTTTGCTTAATATTTTTATCAGGCGCTGTAATTTCTAAAGAACAAAAATCGTTTAAAAATTGTGTTTAGCTGTAAAAAGTGGTATATCAAACCGAACTTTTTAAAAAAGCTAATCTTATTTATGTAGCTTTATTCTCTATAACTAAAATAAACTTAAGGTTTAAATTAAGATTTTTCTATACTACTAAAAAGCAACAAATTACATGCACTTTTGATATATATTTTTATCAGGCGCTATAATTTATAAAGAATAAAAATCGTAGAAAAGAACTTTAAGTTTAAGTAATAACCTTAAGTTTATTTTAGTTCTTTTCTACGACTTTCGAGTCAGGAGATATAGTGAATATTGTGAAGTGAAAAACTAAAAGTGAATGCGGCTCGAAATTTAAAGCGACGACCAAAATTTTTTATTTGCGAATTCAAAAGTGCTTATACAACTGATACAACTAAAAACATAAAGTTTTTGGCCATATAGTTTTTGAGTTACCAACTTTTTTCACATTTTTGGTCATAGTGATTTAGTTTACGAATACGATCTTAATATTAATGTAAGTGCACTAGAAAGCCCTTTAAATAGGCTTTCTAACGACATATCGTTTGTTATCCTACGATAACAACATCATATGAAACCAGCGTCTTCATCTATTTGCGGTCGAGCTGAAGCAGACGGAGCGTTCGAGTCCTCATCAGGGGTCAACCTTCTGGAGCACGCCTAAGCAAAATATTGTAATGTCAAGAGCACGTCTTAGTTTATATTATTTTAAATTTTCATTAAATTACGTGTAATAGTTTTTAAGATATAAGCCATAGCATCTTTTGTTAACGGTTTGGGATACACAAATAAAAATATCACATCGATAGTTAAAAGCCAAATAATACATATATATCGCCATTCGATAGATATTTTTCGCCCCCCTCGGGGCCTTGGTCTACTAAGGGACCATCGCTCCCCAAACCGGTAGTATTCGTGGTCCTAAACAATAGAAAAAGTCAATTCAAAAAAAAAAAAAAAAATAATAATTTTTTTCTCCTCATATAGAATATAGTTTTTTAATTTCATTTGGACTTAAATTAAAAAAGTTATAAGCCTTTAAATTTCTTAAATTTTTTAAAAATTAACATTACTTTTCAGCGCTTATAACAAATAATATATAATAGACTCAGTAATTATTATACTTATTAAAAACTTTGGTTCTTTAGCTATCGACTGAGCCCAAAAACATCAAAATCCATCAACTCTAAGTATTTTTAAATAACGTTTAAACATTTTATAAGTATAAATCTGTAAAGTTGCTAAAAGTTTCCAACGGTTCTTAGTTTAAAACGGTTCTAATTCAAACAAAAATGTGCCAAGAGCGATATTTTTAAAATATTTATTTAACAGCTGTACTTGAGTAAAATTTTTTAGTGAACAAACATACAAAATTATATTTCTTAAAACTTTAATATAGTATAACTTCCTTTATAATTAACTTAGATTAATAGTGCTTGGGCTCGTCGTGGTCGTCATTGGACGAGCTATAGGTTAGTGCATTAAAAAAATCCCCTCCCCCCCGCAAAAAGAAACCCCTCACCCCCTCAAAACCGGAAACCACCCCCTTAGTCCTAACAGCCCCGAGTTTGGGCTTAAACTGTTCGTCTTTAAGAGAGGAATATTTTGGCCCCTCTAGTTTCCCCCCCTCCCCCCCCTCTTTTTCAATATTTTTCCAACATTTTTAAATTTTAGTAAATTATAAGTACTTCTTTAATAATTTCAGCCACAATAATTTAATTTCCCTATTGCTCGGGATACCCCCTTCCCCTCTAAAAACAACACATTTTTTCTGAGCGCCATTCGCCTCCCCACGAAAGTCCCCCCCACCCCCTAAAATATTTTTTTTTACCTCACCCCCTCTGGGTCTAACTCCGGTGATCCTGGTCCTAAGTCGTCGAGATTGGGCTCTGGAGATCCGTCTCGGCACGGCGAGTCTTTTGGCTCCAATAGATTTCCTCATTTCCTCCCCCTTCCCCCTCCTCCGAGATCGGATTCTGTGTCTGTAATCGGGAAAACAGGTTAGGTTGGGTTAGGTTAGGTTAGGTTAGGTTAGGTTAGGTTAGGTTAGGTTAGGTTAGGTTTGTGCATTAACCCCCCCCCCCCGCAAAAAGAAACCCCTCACCCCCTCAAAACCGGAAACCACCCCCTTAGTCCTAACAGCCCCGAGTTTGGGCTTAAACTGTTCGTCTTTAAGAGAGGAATATTTTGGCCCCTCTAGTTTTCCCCTCCCCCCCTCTTTTACAATTTTTTTCCAACATTTTTAAATTTTAGTAAATTATAGGTACTGCTATAATAATTTTAGCCACAATAATTTAATTTCCCTATTGCTCGGGATACCCCCTTCCCCTCTAAAAACAACACATTTTTTCTGAGCGCCATTCGCCTCCCCATGAAAGTTCCTCCCCCCCCTCAAATATTTTTTTTCTACACCCCCTCTGGGTCTAACTCCGGTGATCCTGGTCCTAAGTCGTCGAGATTGGGCTCTGGAGATCCGTCTCGGCACGGCGAGTCTTTTGACTCCAATAGATTTCCTCATTAGGTTAGGTTAGGTTAGGTTTTTTTTTTTTTTTTTTTTATATCCTACTGGCCTACCCCCGGACGAAGTTATCTCCGGGCCGTGGAATATCTAGCTATGGGTATCTTTCTTTATGGGGTTTCATTTTTATTTAAATAATTTTTATACACCTTTTTATTTTTATCTTATCTTATTATACATTTCTTATTCTATTGTTTTCTAATACATTGTTAGATCGGTATATTTACATTATTACGTTTTATTATATTCTTATTATACTGTTTTACATTTTGTGTTTATGTTCTTAATTATACATTGCAATTTTGTTTATATTTGTCTATTTTATTTCTATCTTATTTATTTGTTCCTGGCGTTTGCCATCCGTACTACTTTTCTTATGTACTTAATAAGAACAGGCCTCGCTTTATCGTCTCCTAAGACTTCTGACAGTCTGTCCTCGGTCAAGTCAATGTCCAGTCTGTGTTCCAAATCGGTTCTGTCACTACTGTGGATTGGACAGCGGGTCAACAGGTGTATTATTGTTTCGTCACCACCTCCACAGGCACAAATGGGATCGTCCTTACAGTTAAATCTGTGGAGGTAGGCAGCGAAACCACCATGGCCCGTTAGGGCCTGTGTTAACCCGCTGTCCAGTCCTATCTTTTTTATTAGTTTATTCGCGGTTGCGACGGTTGGGAGGAAGATTTTGGTGGTTGAGGCTGTTGTCCCTCCGTTGTATTCCTCCTCCCACCGTCGCACCGAGTCCGCCCTTAATAGTCTTTTAACAGTCGAGACTGGACATTTGTCAAAGTCGGGTTTTCTTTTTCTGTCAGTCGCGGCCTCTTTAGCGAGCTGGTCAGCTCTCTCATTCCCCTCGTGGCCCACGTGTGCCTTAATCCAGAAGAGCCTCACTTCTTTACATTTGGAGAGGCTCCTGAGGGTCCTCCTGGTTTGCACCACAAGGGGATTGAGGGAGCGACCGCTCACTATGTCCTCCAAGGCTGATCTGGAGTCGCTGCACAGGTTTATTTTGGGACTAATGACTTTCGTCGCCAGCTGTATTGCCTTGTGCAGCGCCACCATCTCAGCCTGGAAGACAGTGCAGTACGTCGCCAGTTTAATCTTCACGGTCTTAAGCTCTTTGTCGAGTCGTCGCAGAACAACTGCTGCTCCCACCCCGTCGTCGGTCTTGCTTCCGTCAGTATAGATATTTGTCGCGTCTGCCTGTTCGTCGAGTCTTAGTTCTGTCTTGTAGTGTTCGAACGACAGACGCGGCTCGTCGGCAGGGTGTGGGAGATCTGTCGGTTTAGTCCTTGTTACCATGGACGCGTCGAGGTACGGGGGGGGCATGAGACCTCTTTTCACTCTGTACAGAACCGCTGCCTCCTCAATCCTTAGATTTAGGGGTATGACCCCGGTAAGAATTCGAACCGAGTGTAAGGAAGCGGTTCTGTACGCCTTGCACATCTTTTGTAAAAACATTCTTTGAATTCTATCTAACTGCACTTTCACACATTTCTTACTTACTGCCTGCCCCCAAGCGCCCGCGGCATACATCAGGACTGGTTCTATCACTGCAGTATAGATTGTCCTGATGATCGATGTGTCCAGACCCCAACTGATTTTGGCTGCTCTTGCCAACTGCCGAAATATCCGGTAGGCCTTTGCGCATGTGGTTTTGACGTGGGTGTTGAAGGTGAGGCTCTCGTCGATTACAAGTCCGAGTAGCCTCACCTCCCTCACAACCTCAATCCCTTCCCCGCCCATGCTCAGGCGCGGGGTGTCGTGCTTTAGCTTTTTCGTCACTACCAAAGCTTTAGTTTTGTGCGGTGCGAATTTCAGCTTGTTCACGACACCCCACCCCTGGACATAAGAGAGGGCTGCATTGGCCTGCCCCTCAATTTCGCTGGCAGTGTGGCCGTCAAAGAGCAGGACTACATCGTCCGCGAACGCTTGCGCGCAGACTCCCTTCTTTTCAAGACCTTTCAATAGGGGATCCAATAACAGGTTCCATAGTATTGGGCCCCCTATAGATCCTTGCACGCAACCTTTTGAGCACTTTCTTTCCGTCTCACTTCCCCCCGTATCTTAGACGGATTTTCCTGTCTTTAAGGTAACTGTCGAAGACCCTACGTAAGTTTGTCGGGCAGCCCGCCTCTGCCAGTCTGCATTTTATGGCCGGCCACCATGCGCTGTCGAAGGCGCCCTCTATGTCCAGTGAGACCAGCACCGCAATCTTTTTCTCGGAGATGCGGGCTTTTATGTTGCTCAGCAGGTCGTAGAGGGCGTCCTCGGTTCCGCGCTGCGGCATGAAACCGTACTGTCTCGCGCTCAGATATGGCACTATGTGATAGCTGGCTCTTGCCACCAACAGTTTCTCCGCGATCTTCCCCATCACTGGAAGGAGGCCGATCGGTCGGTAAGCCTTCGGGATCGTGTATTCTGTCCTGCCCGGCTTCCGGAGAATCACCACTGTGGCCTCCTTCCAGATGGTGGGGAAGTGTCCTATGGCTAAGCACTTGTTAATGAGCGCGAGAAAGAGTGTCCGGTCGGCCATAATTGCCTCCTTACATATGTCCAGGGTCAGTCCGTCACTTCCCGGTGCCTTCTTCGGGTTAAAGGAGCTCAGGACTCTGTCCAGTTCGTGTTCCGTAAACGGGGGCTCGGGAGGATCATCGCTAGGGCCCTCGTTTACCCCTAAAGCCCTTGTCCTGATTTCCTTATGCACCGGCTGGTCTTTGTCGTCGTCATCGTCCGGGTAGAAGGTCCTGGCCAACAGCTCCGCCGATTCCCGCATTCCTAGCACCTGTCCTTCTTTTACTAGGGGTACATCTTCTCTCCTTATTTCTGTTCTGTTTATTATTCTGTATATCCCTTCCCACATCCCTTCCCTGTCTTGTTTACCACAGAACTCTTTCCAGCTTCTTAACTTCGCTTCCTTGATACTAACTTCATATTTTTCTTTTGTTTTCAGGTAGTCTTCAACTACGTGCAGTCTTCTGGTTGGTGCAGCGCATCTTATTCTTCTCTTCTTGGTCCTCATTTGGTTTTTCAACGCTGTCAGTTCCGGGGTCCACCATGGTACGGTAAGTTTCCTCGTCTTGTTTAGCTTCGGTAGGCTTTCCTCACATACTTCTTTTATCATTTCCGTGTACTCCTCGACCACCCTATCCAGCTCCTCTTCTGTTCCTATCTTGTTTAGGATCTCTACGCTTATACTTTTCCTTTCTAGCAGCTGGCCGATTTTCTCGCGAAAATCAGTCCAGTGCGCCTTCCCCGTTTTGTATATCCTAGTAGTCCTTTCTATCATTGTCCCTTTTAATTTAGTTTTCTTTATCTCGAATAGAATGGTGTTGTGGTCCGAGCTAGTCAGCGCCTCCTCGACCCTCCATTCCCCGACCAATCCTAACAGATTGGCCGTGTGGAATGTAACGTCGACATAGCTGCTGTATCTCTTTCCTCCTCTATATGTGTCGAATGTAGGCGTTAGTCCTTCATTCGCCACATATGCCCCCATTTCTGAGATTGATCCCATTAGGCTTTCCCCCCTCCTGTCCGTAATCCTTCCTCCCCAGAGGTCGCTCTTGGCGTTGGCGTCGCCTGCGAAGATGACACTAGGGCCCACCAACTTCTGGATCCTTCGAAGCTCATTAAGGTATGGTTCTATGGGCGTGGGCGTGGGTTCGAAGTAGTATGAAACACATGTACACATCCTGGTCGTGGGTTTTCGCTTTCACTACAACGATGTTTGGTGTAGTGAGATCCGGGCAAAGTGTAGCATCTGTGTTTGAATTAAACATCACGATAGCTGCCTTTACTACCTTGTCTGCTTTGCCCACGAATTGGAAGACTCTGGTGCCTCTGTATTCTTTCATCTTTCCTTCTCTCCCGACATACGGCTCCTGTATCAGCGCCATATCCATTCTCCTTTTCTGCCCTTCCAGTATCAATTCAGTGGTCGCCACGTCTTTCCTCTGCAGGTTGGCCTGGGCTACCAAGAGCGACTCTCTATCCGTTCCTGTTCCCTTGGATACTTTAGCAATAGGCAACCGAGGCTCTTGCTAACCTATCCCACTTCCTCCTTACCGGACACTCTTGCTCGAATGCATTGTGGTTGATCCCGTCGAGGCCCGCCCTGCAGCAGTTTATGCAGGACGGTTTTGTTCCGCTTTGATGCTCTGGGCAGGCCTCCTTTTTGTGGGGTCCTCCACAATGTGAGCAGGTGTCTTGTTCCTTTTTGCTGAGCCTTCGACCGTAGCCGTAACCCAAACACCTCGAGCACTGCACTAGAGGTGTCTGGTCCATCGCCGTCACTCTCTGCAGGTCGATATGGACTTTGCCCATTTCTGTTATGCTTCGCCACATTTTTGGCGGGACCTGCAGTACCACGTGGTTGGCGTGTGGATTCCTTGTCCTCCTTCTATACCTGACTGTTATTCTTTCCTCTTCTTCCTTCTTTACTTCCTTCATTATTTCCCTATTTTGTGTCTTGAGCGCTGCCACAATCTCCTCGTCTGTGTGGACGCTCAAGACATCCCTCAAGATTATTTGCGGGTCTTTGTTTAAGGCCTCTTCGACTTTCAGTTTATTATTTTTCCTTAGTTTCTCCTTTACTCTTTCCAATTCTTCCCTACTTTCACATCCTACTATTACCCTTTGGTCCTTTATTTTCCTAATCCTGTCTACTCTGAGGCCTGTTTTCTTTGCATCTACTGTCTTCCTTATTTCCTCTAGTACCTCTCCGCTCGTTTCCTTTCCTTCCGATGCGACTGTTATTGCGTACTTTGCCGATTCTTGTTCTATCTTCTTCCTTCCATTTTCCCCTGTTTTCCCTGCTGCCGCGGCCACGCTAGCGTATGTTCTAAATTCGCTTATCACTCTATTCCCTTGGTCTAATGCTTCCTTTATTTCCCTTTTCGTTGTTTCCTCTTCCTTCCTATATTCTTCTATCTTTGCTGTCATTTAAGGTAGTTCTTTTTTCAGTTCGTTGAACTCTTTTTCTATCATCATTCTCTGTTCCCGCAATTCCCTCATAAGGTCCCCTTCCTTTCCTTTTTCTTTCCTTGTCTCTATCTTTTCTCTTCTTTCCTCTTCTGTCTGAGTTTGTACTTCTCTCCTTCCTTCTCCGTGTTGTTTGTTGCCTCCTTCTTTTGTTTCTTTCGCTATTTGGCGTAGGGATCTTAACGCTTTCTTGATGCCCTCCTTTATATCCCCTCTCAAGTTGCGGGAGTCATCGATTAATTTTTCTATCCTGTCCAGTAGTCCCGTTACGTTTTCTTTTTCTCCATCCCTTTCTGTTTTCCCTTCCCCTTCACCTTGGCCTTTTCTTTCTTCCCTTTTTGCGTTCACAGCTAATGCGACCTTCTTTTCCCCCTTCATTTTTGCAGGTTCGCACGCTTTTGGCGGAATAGGTTTCGGCGGCAGCTGCTTGGCCTGCACCTTTTGTTGTGCTGGTGGAGAGAGGGAGAATCGCACCACCTGTCTCTGCACTAGACCTTGACCTTGCGGACTCTTAGTTTTGGGGTTTTGTGGTTCGTTGCTTTTTTCTAAAACTACTGTCTTGTCGTGGCGGGTGTCGTTCGAAGTCACGGTTAGGTTAGGTTAGGTTAGGTTAGGTTAGGTTAGGTTCCCCCCCATGATCCAGGCCTTGTCGCGGCGGGGGGCTCAGTAGTCGGTGCTTATTATAGTGGCCAGGTGCCTAATCGGCAACAGACTGTCTGTGGGTCTGCCGATTCTGGCCACTATTGCACGACGAAGCTAATTGGATCCATCGGTCGGTCTCCGAAGACGACGCGGAGACCGATCACGGAGACGCAGCGCTCACCTCAGAGCGCTGCGAGCGTGCCTCCGAGCACGGTTGTTGGGGTCTGTTGAGACCAGTGGCCTTCATGGCGCAGTATGGTGGTGGAGTCACCACGGACGGCGGTGGTGGTGGACCGCGGCGCGGCGGGCCGGGCGTGGCGATGTGCTGCGCCTGGTTAGGGGTTTCGGCCCTCCGTCGGGCAAACCTGTTTCCCCGGGTGCGTGTCGTGGATCATGTCTCGCGGCGCACCTGGGACCAGGGGGCTTGCCTTAATCGGCCGGCCCAAGAGGAAGGAAAACCTCAGAAAAAACCCTGAATTTTGTGTGGTGTTGGGGCGTCTACGGACCTCTGCGCGGCACCACGCCCCCGCTTGCCCGCAGGGTGAGTGGGTGGTCCGGCAGTAACCGGGCCAGCTAGCGGCCAACCTCTGGCGACCGCCCGACCGCCAGTTGTATTAGGGTTACCCGGGTACAGGGCTCTGCCCGGGTGGACTTAGCATTTCCCTTAAAACAAAAGAAATGCCGTTGCGCCTTGTAGCGAGGCGCAACATTTAAAACATGAATTTTGAGGAATGGAAGGTGAAAAACAAAATAAAAACAAAAAACGTAGTGGGAGTGAAGAGGAAGGAGGAAAAGAGGAAGAAGTGGGAGTGAGGAGAGGGCCCAGGGTGGTGCTGACAAGATTGTCGGCGTCATCCTTGTCAAGGGCCAGTAGAAGTGCGGGGTCCTCCAGGGCCTCGCTCAATTTATCCGATACGGATTCCGACCTTGTCAGCGTGTCGTCCGCTGCCTCGGTCGGTCCGGTCGGAGAGTCGGAGTCGAGCCGCTTCTGGCGCCAGAAGCGGAAACGACCCAAAGAGGGAGAGAAATCGCCAGAAGAGGGGTCTTCCACAGACACCCCTCTCTCTGTTGCGAAGAAGGCCGCAGGAAAGCGACCAAGGGGACGTCCGCCAACCACTGGCGAGTACGTCGGGTTGGCGGCCGCGAAAAAGGCCCTTAATGAGGCCCGAAAGGAGGAGGTCCGGCTCCAGGCAGAGGCTGAGCTCATGGCTTCTGTCTCGGAAGCCCGATCGACGCGGCCTTCTTCTGTGGCGTCGCTCGCGTGGGACGAGGGAGACATGGCAGGCACCTGTGTCTCCGCGCCTCGTTCCGCCTCGGACGCTCTTAGGGGCATCGAGGAGAGTTTGGGCGTGATTCAGAGCGTGGCAAAGGGGTCCCGGAACCTCAAGGGGACCTTTGTCCGCGCTCTGGGGGATGCGGTGGCGTCCATCAGGGAGAACTCGTCCGTCCTCATCCAGAGGACAGTTAGTGAGGAGACGAGGGCTCTGCGCGCCGAAAACCAGCGGCTCCGGGAGCAGCTGGAGCAATTGGCGCGCCAGGTGGAGGACCTGCAGAAGTCCTCTCGGCTCCCCAACAGCATGGAGGAGTTTGAGGCGGGGCTTCTGCGGAAGATAGGGGAACGCATCAACGCGAGGTTCGAAGGACTCGAGCCTCGGTTGAACCCCGCGCCCAGACTCAGGCCGCCATTGGCGGCAGACGGAAGAGGCAGGGACCTTCCTGCGGCCGCTGCGGCGGCGAAGAAGAAGGGACCAAAGGGTCCAGGTAGGGTGGTTCCGTCCACTTCTGCCGCGACCCGCTCTTCCGTCCCCGATGCCCCCGTCCGAGGGCGATCCCCGGCGAGGCTGCCGAACCCGGACTCCCTGGAGGGAAGCTGGGTCACGGTGGCCAGGAAGAAGAAGCCGGCTCGCAAGGAGGCGCCCCGGGAGTTGCCGACGCGAACACGAGCTCGGCAAGCTCCTGCGGCGAAGGACAAGGAGGTGCGGTCGCGTCCGAGGAGGGGGGCCGGGAAGGCATCCGGCCCTCAACCGGCTAAGAAGCCGAAACTTCGGGTTCCTCGGTCGTCGGCTGTCGTCCTGACGGTCACTGAGGAGGGGTCCAAGGAGGGACTCTCCTACAGTGACGTCCTCCGGAAGGCCAGGGAGAAGTTGGACCTCAAGGCTATCACAGGCCTTGAGGGTCTAAAGGTCAGAAAGGCGGCGACTGGAGCCACCATTCTCCAGCTCCCCGGAGCCGCGAGTAGCTCAAAGGCGGATGCTCTCGCGAGCAAGCTCGGGGAGATCTTCGACAGCGGAGTCGTCAAGGTGACGCGGCCGCAGAAAGCGGTCGACGTCAGGCTCTCGGGCCTGGATGACTCCGTCACAAAGGAGGAGGTGGCGGCTGCTGTCGCCAAAAAGGGAGAGTGTTCTCCCTGGCAGGTGCGAGTCGGCGACATCCGGCGGGATCGCACGGGGCTTGGCGCCCTTTGGGCGCATGTCCCCGTTGGCTCCGCAAAGAAGCTGCTGGAGGGCAGACTTTTGGTGGGTTGGGTGGCGGCGAGAGTAACTCTGGGAAAACCCAGGGCGCTTCGCTGCTACCGTTGCCTGGAGGCTGGCCATGTGGCGAGCCGTTGCGATTGCGCGAGCGATCGTAGCGGTCTTTGCTACAGGTGCGGTCAGCCTGGGCACTTGGCGGCCTCGTGTTCGGCCAGCCCGCATTGCGCGGTTTGCGCAGCGGCTGGCAAAGAGGCAAACCATCGGGTGGGTGGTGCCAAGTGCTCGGCCCCCACCAAAAAGATGCGGCGGAGAGTCCCGGAGAAGCGGGCCGCCGTCCCTCCGAGCGGGACCGCGATGGAGGTTGCCGAGACCGTAGGGGCCTAGTATGGCCCTACGGTTCCTCCAGGCGAACCTGAATCATTGCGCCAGGGCCCAGGATCTTCTATTCCAGGGCCTGGCGCAGTGGTCCATAAACATCGCGGTGATTGCGGAGCCATACGCGGTGCAGCAAGGGGACAATTGGGTCGGGGACATTGGCGAAACTGTCGCCATTGTCGTCACCGGAGCCGGTGGCTCTCCCCCAATTGTCTCTTCACGGAGAGGCCAGGGTTGTGCTGCAGTGAAGTGCGGCCACATCACGGTTGTGGGGGTCTACTTCTCGCCCAACAGGACTCTCTCGGAGTTCGAGGGGTTCCTGGCGGAAGTGGATGCCCTTGTGCAGTGGAGTCGCCCGAATGAGGTGGTCGTGGCGGGGGACTTCAATGCCAAATCGGCAGTGTGGGGTTCCCCAACCTCGGATGTTCGTGGCGACGTCCTTGTGGAGTGGATGGCCGCGCACAACCTGGCGCTCGTGAACCGGGGCTCGACGCAGACGTGCGTCCGCATGCAGGGGGGGTCCATAGTGGACCTTACCTTTGCCAGCCCCGGGCTTGCACGCCGCATCGTCGACTGGGAGGTGTTGGACGGGGAGGAGACGCTGTCTGATCACCGTTACATACGGTTCAGTGTCTCCTCTCAATCCACGGCGATCGGGCCTGGCGCCCCTCCGGCGCAGAGGGGCCCTCGTTGGGCCCTGAAGTCTCTGGACAGGGAGATGGTGGAGGTGGCCTCGATAGTGGCCACCTGGTGTCCAGAGCCGGAGTCTTCTTCGGTGAGGGAGGAGGTGGAGTGGTTCGGGGCGGCCTTGGAGCGTATCTGTGACGCTTCAATGGCTCGGTCCCGACCTCTTCCGCCGCGTAGGCAGGTGTACTGGTGGTCGGAGGAGTTGGCCGCACTTCGGTCAACTTGTGTGGTGGCCCGACGCCAGTACACCAGGTACAGGAGGAGACGGCGTGCCTCGCGGAACACCGAAGAGGAAGGGCGCCTCTATTGCCTCTATCAGGAGGCAAAGAAGGCCCTGAGGATGAAGATCGCGGAGGCGAAGGAAAGGGCGTGGGAGGAGCTCCTGAGCACCTTGGAGCTAGACCCATGGGGGCGGCCGTACAAGCTCGTAATGAGCAAGCTGCGCCCCTGGGCCCCACCCCTGACATCCAGCATGGAGCCGGCACTTCTGAACTCAGTCGTGTCGGCCTTGTTTCCCCATGCGGATGCTTCGCTTCCCTCCCAGTCGACGCCACCCCCGGACGCGGGGGCACCGGACGTGACATCGGCCGAGCTCAGCTCGGCCTTGGACAGGACGCGAGGCAAGAGGACGGCTCCCGGCCCTGATGGGGTGCACGGGAGGGTGCTGTCTCTTGCCTTGCAATTCGGCCTCGACGAGCGGTTCCGCAAGCTGTTGTCGGCTTGTCTGCGGAACCGTGTCTTTCCGGACTTGTGGAAGGAGGGAAGGCTGGTTCTTCTCCAGAAGCCTGGCAAACCGCCGGACTCGCCTTCGGCGTATCGGCCGATCGTGCTGCTGGACGAAGCGGGTAAGCTCTTTGAGCGTATAATAGCAACCCGCATCCAGCAGCACTTGGCTCTGGAGGGGCCAGACCTATCCGATTGCCAGTTTGGCTTTCGGAAGGGGCGGTCGACAATCGACGCGATCGCGAGATTGCGCGATGTGTCAGACGGGACTGTGGCGGAGGGCGGGGTTGTTTTGGCGGTGTCGCTGGACATTGCCAACGCGTTCAACACCCTGCCCTGGGACGCGATTATGGATGGGCTTCGCTACCATGGCGTGCCTGTCTATCTTCGCGACGTGATTGCGTCGTATCTCACGGCGAGACGCATCACGTTCCCCAGGAGACACGGATGGGGTTCCCACCCCGTCAGGTGCGGTGTGCCGCAGGGATCGGTGTTGGGTCCACTGCTGTGGAACATCGGCTACGACGGGGTCCTGCGTTGCTCTCTGATCACGGGTGTCAGCGTCATCTGTTACGCGGATGACACCCTGGTGGTTGCGAGGGGCGACGATTTCCGCGAGGCCAAGCTTCGCGCCACGGCCGGGGTGGCACAGGTCGTGGCGCGGATCCAGAGGATTGGCCTGCGAGTCGCCCTGAACAAATCAGAGGCGATCGCATTCCACGGTCCCAGGAGAGCGCCGCCGAGCGGGGCGCAAATCATCGTCGGCGGAGAGGCCATCGAGATAGGGTCCACCCTAAAGTATTTGGGGTTGGTTCTCGACTCTCGGTGGTCCTTTAAGGCGCACTTTGCGGCACTTGCCCCGAAGCTCGCCGCCACGGCATCGGCCTTGTGCCGAATTATGCCGAACCTTGGCGGCTCGGGCGAGGGGTGTCGCCGCTTGTACGCCGGCGTTGTGCGCTCCAAGGCGCTCTATGGCTGCCCCATTTGGGCCCAGGATTTGTCGGCGCAGAACCTTGCGCTGCTGAGGCAGTCGCAACGGGTGATGGCGCTCAGGGTGGCGAGGGCGTACCGCACCGTATCTTATGATGCGGTGTGCGCGATAGCCGGGCTCGCACCCTGGCACCTGGAGGCGGCTGCTTTGGCCGACATTTACTGGCGCCGGGCTCTAGTCCGGAGTCGAGGCGAGGAGCTCACTCATGAGCTCCTCAAGGATTGGAGGGAGGACGGCCAAAGGGTTGTCGTTGCGCGGTGGCAAGATCATCTTGCCACCTCTCGGGTAGGCGCGCATACGCTTCAAGCGATCGCGCCCGTCCTGCCCGAATGGCTGAGGACGAAGCGGTGGGGATCCTTGTCCTATCACGCGGTGCAGATTTTGTCGGGGCACGGATGCTTCGGCAAATACCTGCACAGGATCCGGCGGGAGGAAACAGACTCCTGCCATCACTGCGGATGCGCCTCAGACACGGCGCAACACACCTTGGAGGCATGCCCGGCCTGGGCAAGTCAGAGGACTGCCCTGGCCGGAGCTTTCGGCGCGGATCTATCCCTGCCCGCCATTGTGGCAGGGATAGTTAGGAGCGCGGACGACGCTCCGTGGCAGGCCTTTAAGGCCTTCTGCGCCGACGTCCTCTCGCGAAAGGAGGAAGCGGAGAGGGCGAGGGAGATTGCTCCCGACGCCCCCGCTCTCCGACGGAGGAGACTTGGGCGGCGCCGGCGCGATTACGCCCGGCGTCCGCCGTGACCTCGGTCTTAGGACCGAGCCAGGAGACGTGGCCATCAACCGGCCACGTAGGGCGAGCCGCGCGCGGGAAACACGCGCGGCAGGACACACGGGCGCGGGCATGCGGGTCAAGGGCAACTAACCGCTCGCTCGCGTCCGGCAAGTCTCCCGTGGGCTCTTGGAGGTTTAGTGGGTAGTGGTCAAGCTGGCCGACCCCCACACTCCCCCCGCCACTCGATGTGGCCAGGCGGGGGCGTCGGTAAAGAGTCGATTCCTCCAAGTAAAAAAAAAAAAAAAAAAAAAAAAAAAGGTTAGGTTAGGTTAGGTTAGGTTAGGTTAGGTTAGGTTTTTTTTTTTTTTTTTTTTTTTTTTTTTTAACTTATTGGTACATTGGTATTGGTGTTTGAGTGATATACAGATTTTAGGGGAAGAAACTTTGTGGATGCTGCTATTGGATACAGTCTTTCCACAAAGTTCCTTTTACACTGGGTATTTACAAAATGTGGTTTCTTAGAATTAGAGTCGCTATACAAATCAAGTTTTCCTTAGTGTCTACAAGCTATACATTGACATTGTTTAACTTAAATTCTACATTTATATAATTGAGAGCTTTACTATACAAACATAATTTCCTTATATTTATACAAACAAAGTATTTACATATATATATAAGGTTATACAATGCTAAGTTGCTTGCTGTGAAGTTATTACAGTTGGGAATTTTAATTTTTACAATGAGAGAAATTTACTAGTTACATTTAAGTGTTATTGAACGATTTTAAGTTATTAACTATATATTTAATAAATTTATCGATGGCGTCGATCGCAGTACTGTTTAGAAGAGAGTCTTTTAGTGTGATGGTGTATGGCGTTTTGTGCCTAGTTTGTGCCTGTAGGCAATCGTGCCTTTGGGAGGAGAACCTGGAGCAGTCGTTTATGAGGTGTGTAAATGTTTGGATGCTAGTGTTGTCACAGGGGCATTTGTCGTCTGAAGTGATGTTAAATCTGTGCAAATATTGTTTAGTGTACGAGTGCCCTGTGACGAACTGAGTGAGGTGAAAAGAAACCGGAAGTGTCGTGTTAAGTTTGTGTATGTCTTTAAGTGATGGTAGGAGAGACCTGGTTGTTGCCCCCGTGGGCTCCTCCAAGTACCTCTTTTCCCAGTTGGTGTAGGAATTTAATCGTGCGATGTGTTTTATGTGAGATAAGGGGCAATTGATGAAATCGGGAGCCTTATGGGCTTTGGAAGCTGCTTTAGCAGCGGCATCTGCTTCCTCATTTCCTATGATGCCGGTATGGGCTCGAACCCATTTGAAATGTATTTTTGTGTGTTTGTTGTGGTGTAGTGTATTGTGTATGCTATTGACTAGAGGATTCGTGCTGGAAGGTTGCTCCAAAGCTGCTAGTGCGGATTGTGAGTCTGAGTGGATAATACTACTTATTTTGTGTTTAGTGGCCCATTTGCACGCCTCTTTGATTGCCAATAGCTCCGCTTGAAATATACTACTGGTGGAGTGAAGTTTAATCTTACGTGTATGGATTATGTTGTTTGTGTTAGGTGCATGAATGATGAACGCTGCTCCAGTCTCTCCGCCTTCCTGCTTGCTACCATCGGTGAAAATGTTATGCGGAGTGGGTTGAATGTGTTTATGTGTGTTATTTTTATATGTAGTGTGTCTGATGCCTTTTCGGTTTGCGGGGTGTAATAGTTTTGAGGGATGGACTGGGGTTTCAATGGGGATGTCCGATGGGATTAAGTCGGTTTTACGTTCAACGCGGGCTGTTTCGATACAATTTATTTCGTTGATTTTAATGTCTAGTGGGAGAAATTCTGCTAGTGCGAGAGCTGCATTTGTAGATATGGTCCGGAAACCGCGAATGGCTTTTATAGCGAATCTACGTTGGATCGAGAGAAGTTTGTTTTTATTTGTTTTTGTGTTTGCGGCTTTGCCCCATACTCCCGCGGCGTATGTTATTGTTGGAACGATGACCATGTGGTATATTATTTTTATGTTTTCAGTATGTATGCCCCAAGTGGGTCTTATAAAGTTGCAAAGTTTGTTGAAGATGTTTTGCGCTTTTTGGGTTATGTGGTTTATGTGTTTTTTGAAGGTTAGTTTCCGGTCTATGATGACTCCTAGGTATTTTATTGAGTCTGAGGGTCTAAGGTTAATATTGTTTATTTTGATATTTGTTTGTTGCGCTTTGTTTGTAAAATGTATGAGTTGGGTTTTTTCCGGACCGAATTCGAGTTTTACGCTCTTTCCCCAGTGGAAGATTATGTCGAGAGAGGTGTTTGTGATTTCTTGTAATTTATTGATGTCGGGAGCGGTGGCTATTAATACTACATCGTCCGCGAATGCCTGTAAGTGGCAGCCAGGTGGTAAAGTTGTGTTGAGTAGTTTATTTATTAGTATGTTCCATAGTACGGGTCCGCATGCCGATCCTTGTATGCAGCCTTTGCTGTTGGTTTTGATGGTCGTGTGTTCGCCTATGGTTAGATTGACTGTTCGTTCCGAAAGGTAGTTTTTTATGAGTTTGTAGATATTCAATGGACATCCGACGTCCCTAAGTCCGCTAAGGATAGCTGGCCACCAGGCGTTATCGAAAGCGCCTTTAATATCCAGTGAGACTGCTAGTGTTTCGTGGTGATTTTGTTTTGAGGCTTTGACTTTGTTGATTACTGAAAGTATGGCTTGTGTAGTGCCTGTCTGTTGGGTGAATCCATATTGTGTGGTGTTTAGTGTTTTGTTGTGTTGTGCCGAGTATATGACGCGCCTAGTGAACAGTTTCTCTAACGTTTTTCCAAATACGGGTATAAGGCCGATTGGGCGATATGATGATAAGTCGGTGTAGTCTGCTTTTGAAGGTTTAGGGATGACTTTTACTACGGTTCTTTTCCATGTGACTGGGAAGTATTCGAGTGAAAGGCATCGGTTCAGTAAGTTTGTGAGTAGTTCGGGGTATTGGTTTGCCACCATGGAGCATATATCACTCGTAAGGTGGTCATGGCCTGGAGCTTTATTTGGATTCATGTTATTGAGGATTTCTAGCACCTCTTCTTGGGAGAAGTCTGGGTCGTTCTGTGTGTTTGGTAAGTCGTTTGATGTGTTGCGAATTTGAGTGTGGGCAGGGTCGGTATCTAGTCCGTCGTCTGGGTAAAAATGATTTAGTAGTTCTTGAGCGGTTTCTTCTGCAGTATTTGTGTATGTGTTGTCCTTCCTGCGTAGCGTTTGAGGTGGTGGGTTCGGTCCACGTGATTTTAGCAATCTGTTTGTTAGTGACCAGACATTTTCTTTTGTTTGGAGGGAGCAAAATGATCGAAAGCTTTGTGTTGAAGTCTGTTTAAGTTTGTCTGCGTAGTTTTCTTTAAGGGTTTTGTATTCATCTAAGGTGTTTGGGTCGGGAGGGCGTCCGCGTGAGTTATGCAAGCGACGGTGGATTCGGATGCATTCCTCTTTCAAGGACTGTAATTCATCCGACCACCATGGGGGCCTGGGTTTGATTCCGTTATTTCTTATGGGAAAAGTTAGGGTGCTGGCATCGTTTATAATTTCAGTGAGGGTAATGATGGTTTGCTCTAATTGTTTGTCCGTTAGTGCATCTATGTTTTTGTCTAAGATTCCTGAATTAAAGATTTTGGTGTGGAGGTGTTCTTTGAATAAATGCCAGTTACCTTTGTTTGTTTGGTATAGGAATGTGCTATGAGTATTGTTGGTCAGCGCGGGAGATTGTGTGAGATTAATCGCGAATGTAATGTGGTTGTGTTGTGTGGATGGAAAGTGTCCCGGGTGTACTTGCCAGTCGTTTATTTTGCTAATGAGATTGGGGGAATAGAGCGTTAGGTCTATAATAGAGGTGCGTTTCTGTCCGTGCGTAATCGTTTGAAATGTGGGGGTTTGGCCTACGTTTCCTAACTGAAGGTCGTGGGTTGATATAAAGTCAGCTACTTCTACTCCTCGTGGGTTGTCAGCGGAACTGCCCCAAGTGCTGTGCCATCCGTTAAAATCGCCGCCTATTATTATGTGTGAGCCGTTGTGCGTGTGTAAAAATTGATCTAGTTTATTTAGAATATTATTTGTATCTGTGCGCGGTTCAATGTAAATCGAGACTACGTATATATTATAATTTTTTGTGGGGATGGAAATAACGCAAAGGTCGTCCGTGGTGAATTGTGTGAGTGTGATCGCGTGAATGTGTGTTTTCGCCAAGATACAGGCCCGTACTTTCGTGGCGCCATCAGCCTGAAAAACGTTAAAGCCTTGCATGTTCTTGACATGTTTTGAGTTACCGATATATGGTTCTGAAATTAATGCTATGTCTGTGTCAGTGTTGTGCATGTGTACCTGAAGTTCGTGCAAAGCGTTGCGAGACCTGTCGAGGTTCGCTTGGGAGAACTGAAATCTATTAATGGCTCTAGGCATAGTTTATTTTAGCCTCGACGCGGGCTTGCATAGCTACAACCTTGGGGCAGCGTCCGCTGTCAGCGCGGTGGGTTGTGGGGTTAGTTGTTTTATGTTGCTGGTTGTGTTCGTGACAGTTGACGCAGGTGGGTACTTCGGAAGCCTCCTTGGGGCACTCTCTAGTAGGATGGGTTTGGGCGCATTTCGCGCAGGTGGGACCGCTAGCCGGGCAGCGGTTCTTAGTATGGCCGAAGCCTAAACAGTTCCTGCATTGTAGGAATGGTGAGAAGTTGCAGCAGTGGACCCGCTGGTGAGAAATAGCAACGCGACCCATGTCAACGAGAGTGCGCCAGGTGGCTGGGGATGTTGTAAGTACGAGGTTGTAGAGTTTGTCGTTCCGATTATTTCGATGGAATTTAATTTTTAATTGGGCATCTTTGAGGTTAGGATTTTGCTCTTTGATCGTTGCGATGACTTCCTCCTCTGGGGTGGTTTTTGATATGCCTTTAAGGCAGATAAGGGGGTTATATCTTTTTTCCTCTTCCGCTTTAAGGGTGCTGCGCGATTGGGAGAGTTGCTTAATAGCGTCCTGCCTATGTTTGTCACTCTCGAAAGTAACGCGTACTTTTCCTTTCGAAAGGGGCTTGATGCTCAACGGAGCGTATCCTCCCTTACGAAAGTCTATGCCCTTGCGCATGTTTTCTACTAGGGTCTCTGGGGTGGTGTTTGGTTCCCCACTGATGACTAGTGAGGAGCCTGTGGGCGGTTTGGGTCTAGATGCTATGTCGGCATATAATGGGGGTGTGTGTGTCGGGAGGGGCGAGTTTTCGGCATTGTTGTTGAGGTTGTTAATTTTGTTTATTAATTTATGGATGCTAGGGTTAGGTTAGGTTAGGTTAGGTTAGGTTAGGTTAGGTTAGGTTAGGTTAGGTTAGGTTAGGTTAGGTTAGGTTCCCCCCCCACTGCACTTTGAGTATCTCGTGCAGCCCCAGGGCTTGTCGTTGCCGGGGGGGCCCGGCCATCTGAGTTAGGGTGGTATCGGCTATGGCAAAGTTTGTTAACTTTGTGATGACCGGTGCGTATCCTGCATACTCGGTGGTCGCTAACTGGGAGGCGGGCGATACTCTGCAATATTGTATATTGCTCTGTATGGCTTGCTACATCTTCGGCGTTCCTTGCCAACCACGTTTTTCGTGGTGGGTGGGGAAGACGAAGTTTTGTTTATCGCGGTCCTTCAGACCGCGATGCGCAGTGAAGCGCGAGGAAGGGCGTCCTATGGCGCGGGCCCGGGGCGCTTTTCGCCCTGGGTCGGGTGTGCGAGGATATGGCGCGGCGGGCCCTCGACGGCAAATGATACGTCTACGCCGTCAGGGTCGGACCGTTTCACGTCTCCCGTCTGCGCCATGCACACAGCGGCGGCGGGCCGGGAATGGCTCATAGCCTCCGGTTAGGGGTTGTTACCCCCCGTCGTCGCACCGAGAAGTCGGCTTTTACGCCCACAAGTCGGCACAGCCGATGAAGAGGATGGCCTGCTGCGGAACGGGAGCCTGTGCCTGTTATGGGACGGGAGCCTGGGCCTGCGGCGGGACTCGACCCCTGGACATTGCTTCGGGACCGGTCGAGCAGGGTGGAAGGAGCTTTAGGGTAAGTTTTGCACATTTATTTATTTTTGTAAATAATGTTTTTGGAGAGGGTGCGTCTCACCCCTATATATATTTTATTTTCTTGTAAATATTTTTATATAGTGTAAGGCGGAGATCGGTTCTCTGCCGCTGTTAGGCGGTTGTGAACCGAGAGCGGTGCTTCGGCACGGAGGATGGCGGACTAGTTGTCCGCGAGGTGCGCTGACATAGGCAGCGCACCCCCAATCCTAAGTCTGTGGTGCCTGGCGAGGGGATGAATGGCTGGTGGGAGTCCAGCCCCTAAGGCACCAAACAAAAAAAACAACATGGAGGCACCTACGAATAGTAAACCTACTCCAGGTGGGTCAAATCCCACCCGTCGCTTTGGATCCAGCAATGGTGAAGGGGCGGCGGTTAAGCCGGATCGTACTCTGGAGGCCGGCAACCCCCATGGTAGAGAGAGGAGAATGTCAGACGCAAGAGTGGTGTTGGAGCGCTTATGCGCTTCACCAAGTCCCTCTGTAGCGGCCGCCGCAAGATCTTATGCGGCCATAGAGGAGGAGTATGAAGGGCTCTCGGACTCGTCCGTAGGGTCTATGGAGACGGTGTCGAGTAGCGACACAAGAGGTGTGAAGCGCTTCCGCGGTCCGCAGAAGGCGCGAAAGCGAAGTCGGTCTGGTGCTTCCAGCGGGAGTGGAAGTGAGGCGCCAGAATCATCTAAACCGAGAGGTAGAGGTCGCCCACCGACAACCGGTGACTACATTGGACTGGCTGCGGCGAAACAGGCCTTAGTGAAGGCCAGAAGAGAGGAGATAAGGCTCCAGGCTGAGGCCGAACTTGCGGCTTCCGCATCGGAGCTAAGGTCAACGCGTGCATCGTCGGTGTCTTCGATGCAATGGGATGAGGCGGACATCGTGGACACCGGTGACCCGGCTAGTCGCTCGGCCTTGGATGCTCGCAGGGGTATTGAGGCGAGCTTACAGGTGATAGAAGGCGTGGCGAAGAGATCTGGAAATCTCAAAGGAACTTTCGTCTACGCATTGAAGAAAGCGGTCTCGGCGATTAGGGACAACTCGCAGGTTCTCATCCAGAGAACCATTAGTGAGGAGACGAGGGTCCTGAGCGCCGAGAACCAGCAACTGAGACAGAGGTTAGAGGAGCTCACGAGGAAGGTGGATGAGCTGCAGAAGTCTTCGGGGCTCCCCAACATGCAAGAGCTGGAGGCGAGTCTCTTGCTCAAACTTGGAGACAGGATAAATGCCCGCATAGATGGACTGGAACCTCGGCTTAATCCTGCGCCACTGCTTAGGCTCAAATCAGTCAAATCAGTCGCTATAGTCGCGCTTAACACCAGCGACTCTACCACCGTTGCCTCGTCAATTGCTGGAGGCGGCTGTATTGCGTGTCGGGTAGGCAACATAGTCGTCATTGGGGCATACTGCTCGCCCAACAGGTCACTGGCCGATTTCGAGTCATACCTGGCGGGCGTCAGTACCTTAATGGAGTGGAGCAGACCTCTCGGGGTAGTCGTGGCCGGGGACTTCAATGCGAAATCTATCGTATGGGGGTCCTCGGTCTCGGATGCTCGGGGAGATATGCTCCTGGAATGGATAGCGGAGCACGATCTCGTCCCTTTGAACCAAGGGAACGAGTTTACGTGTGTTCGGATGCAAGGGGGCTCCGTGATAGATGTGACTTTCGCAAGTCCCACTCTGTCACGGAGAATCCAGGATTGGCAGGTGCTGACGGGGGTCGAGACTCTATCCGATCATCGGTACGTCCAGTTTACTCTTCCCCCGTTGGCGAATTCAGCAAATCCCAACCGCATCCCGTTGGAGACCGGGCCCAAATGGGCCTTGAAAACCCTGGACAGGGAGGCAGCGGAGACGGCTTCGGTTGTCGGGGCCTGGTGTCTAACTTTGGACAGAACAACGTTAGAGAGCGAGGTTGCTCGGTTTGGAGAGGTCATGGCTGATATCTCAGATAGCTCCATGGCCAGATCCCGACCGGCAGCCCCTCGTAAACAGGTGTATTGGTGGTCGGAGGAGCTTGCGCAACTCCGATTGGCGTGCGTGAGGGCCCGCCGCCAGTACACCCATTACCGGAGAAGACGAAGGACTCGCGACCCACTAGTGGAGCGAAGACTTTACGGCGAATATCAGGACGCCAAGATGGTCTTACGGGTCAAGATAGGAGAGGAAAAAGAGAGAGCGTGGACAGAGCTCCTGGACACGCTGGAGTCGGATCCCTGGGGGCGGCCATACAAGCTCGTCATGAGTAAACTCCGCCCCTGGGCTCCGCCGCTAACATCTGGTATGGAGCCGTCGCTGCTTGGTTCGGTGGTGACGACTCTGTTCCCGGCGGTAAGCTCTCCTCTCTTGGCCAACCATCAGCCGCGACCTTCTGCGGGTGCTACACCGACGGATCCCCCTGAAGTGTCTTCTGCGGAAATGGACGCGGCATTGGACAGGATGACGGGCAAAAAGACAGCTCCTGGGCCCGATGGTATACACGGGAGACTGCTCACAATTGCCATCAAGAATGAGATGGGAGAACGGTACCGGAACCTGTTAACCCGGTGCCTAAGGGCCGAGAAGTTTCCAGACAAGTGGAAGGAGGGGAAACTGGTCCTCCTCAAGAAGCCCGGCAAGCCGGAAACGTCACCATCGGCTTACCGTCCGATCGTGTTGCTGGATGAAGCCGGCAAGCTCTTCGAGCGCATCCTGGCCGGTCGCATCCAGCGACACCTGTCGTCGGAGGGACCGGACTTAGCGGAGACACAGTTCGGATTTCGCAAGTGTCGCTCAACCATTGACGCCATCGGACGTCTAAGGGACCTGTGCGACGAGACGGTGTCACAGGGTGGGGTCGTAATCGCGGTGTCTCTAGACATCGCGAACGCGTTTAACACCTTGCCCTGGGATAGCATCATCGAGGGGTTGCGGTTTCACAACCTGCCGCAGTACCTCGTCAACATCGTGACGGACTACCTCACGGGTAGAGTAATAACTTACCCTACTCGTGACGGTATCGGAACCCACAGGGTATCGTGCGGCGTCCCACAAGGGTCTGTGCTGGGGCCTCTCTTGTGGAACATTGGTTACGACAAGGTTTTACGGGGTGTCTTGATGAGGAGCGTACACGTCATCTGTTACGCGGACGACACACTTGTCGTAGCCAAAGGGAGGGATTACAGAGAGGCGAGCTTGCGTGCGACAGCGGGAGTGGCGCAGGTGGTCGCGCGCATTAGAAACATCGGCCTGGAAGTCGCACTTCACAAATCGGAGGCGATATGTTTCCACGGCCCGCGGAGAGCACCACCTTCAGGTGCGAGCATCGTGGTGAGCGGCCAATCCATCGGGGTCGGGTCCACGCTCAAGTACTTGGGCTTGGTCCTCGACTCTCGGTGGACTTTCAAGCCGCACTTCAAGGCACTGGCCCCCAAGTTGGCCGCCACGGCATCGGCGCTTTGCCGTATTATGCCGAACGTTGGCGGACCGAGCGCGGGGCGTCGCCGGCTTTTTGCAGGGGTCATGCGGTCGATGGCCCTCTACGGGTGCCCAATCTGGGCGTACGGATTGGCATCCCAGAATAGGGCGATGCTAAGGCAGTCGCAGAGAGTGATCGCCATAAGGGTCGCAAGGGCGTACCGCACGGTGTCTTTCGATGCCGTGTGCGTACTAGCCGCTTCGGCACCTTGGCACCTCGAAGCCTCTGCCTTAGCAGACGTTCACTGGCGTAGGTTTCGTTCTAGGTCGAGAGGAGAGGAACCTGCCTACGAAACAGTGAACGAATGGAGAAGGAGCGCCGGAGATTGGGTCACCCAGGAGTGGTCCGACGGCCTCGTGACCTCAAGGACTGGAAGATGGACGCTGGAGGCGATTCAGCCGGTCCTGAAAGAATGGGTGAGTCGGCGGCGGGGACATCTGTCCTACCGCCTGGTGCAGATGCTGTCGGGACACGGCTGTTTTGGCAGTTATTTGTTCAAGATCGGTAGGGAACGGACCCCCGCTTGCCATCACTGTGGCGCCGCGGTGGACACTGTCCGCCATACACTGACGGAATGTTCGGCATGGGTCGTCGAGAGAGACACCCTGTCGACACAACTCGGACTGGACGCGGCAAGATTGACGCTTAATAACATTATTACGCAGATTTTGCAGAACGACGACGGAAAATGGAGGGCATTCGCTGCCTTCTGCGAAGCCGTCCTATCACAGAAGGAGGAGGCGGAGCGACTGCGGGAGATAGCTCCTGACGCAGACCAGCAACGCCGAAGGAGACCTGGAAGGCGGCGGCGGGACTTCCTCCGTCACCCCCAGTGATCCTCACCAGACGAAGACAAGGGCGTACGTAAGTATAGCTTACGCACTTTTGTAGGGAGAGTCGCGCTTGCGCGGCGAGCCACTCGGCGAGGGTTCAAGGAAAATATGGTTTTACTGATACCTTACCCTTGCCAATAGTGGAGTGGACGTGGGTCCTGGATGGTTTAGTGCGGTATTGGCCCTCTTCTAGGGTCGAGTCCCACACTCCCGCGCCATTGCACTGCCCAGGCGCGGGGTCCGTAAACGGATTCCTCCAGGTAAAAAAAAAAAAAAAAAAAAAAAAAAAGGTTAGGTTAGGTTCCCTTCCACTGCACTTTGAGTATCTCGTGCAGCCCCAGGGCTTGTCGTGCCGGAAGGGCCCGGCCATCTGAGTTAGGGTGGTATCGGCTATGGCAAAGTTTGTTAACTTTGTGATGACCGGTGCGTATCCTGCAGACTCGGTGGTCGCTAACTGGGAGGCGGGCGATACTCTGCAATATAGTATATTGCTCTGTATGGCTTGCTACATCTTCGGCGTTCCTTGCCAACCACGTTTTCGTGGTGGGTGGGGAAGACGAAGTTTTGTTTATCGCGGTCCTTCAGACCGCGATGCGCAGTGAAGCGCGAGGAAGGGCGTCCTATGGCGCGGGCCCGGGGCGCTTTTCGCCCTGGGTCGGGTGTGCGAGGATATGGCGCGGCGGGCCCTCGACGGCAAATGATACGTCTACGCTGTCAGGGTCGGACCGTTTCACGTCTCCCGTCGGCGCCATGCACACAGCGGCGGCGGGCCGGGAATGGCTTGTTGCCTCCGGTTAGGGGTCGTTACCCCCCGTCGTCGCACCGAGAAGTCGGCTATAAGCCCACATATATTGTCGGCAAATAGCTGACGAAGAGAGAAGATGGTGTGTGGGACGGGAACCTGAACCTACAACGGGACGGGAGCCTGGGCCTGCAGTGTGATTCGACCTCCTGGAGTTCGGCTTCGGGACCGGTTCGAGCAGGGTGAGAAGACTTCCGGTTAGGGTAAGTTTTTGAACATTGTATATATTTTGTAAATAGTGTTTTTTGGAGAGGGTACTTATTACCCCTGTACATATTTTATTTTCTTTCATTTTACTTTTTACTGCTTTTTGATTGTTTATTGTATTATGTTTGTGTAAATAATGTGTTTTTGTCGATTGCCCCCTATGGGCTTGTATATATTTGACGTTGGAGATCGCTTCTCCAGTGGTGCTTCGGCACGGAGGATGGCGGACTCGTAGTCCGCGAGGCGCACTTTGTGTGTCCCCAATCCTAAGTCTGTGGTGCCTGGCGATAGGATGAATGGCTGGTGGGAGTCCAGTCCCTAAGGCACCAAACAAAAAACATAACAAAAACATGGAGGCAATTACGTTAAATAAAACTACTCCAGGTGGGTCAAATCCCACCCGCCGCACTGGATCCAGCAATGGTGAAGGTGCCGCGGTTGAGCCGGAACGTATTCTGGAGGCCGGCAACCCCCATGATGAAGTTGGAAAGGGAGTTAAAGATGAAAGTAGGTGTAGGAAAGATAAGGAAGGAGGTGAGAAAGAGTTGCGGGTGGTGTTGCAGAGGACTGTAACGCCACTGCCCGTGACAGAAGGAGAAGTTCGCGGCTCACGGGTCCAGTCGATGGTTTCGAGGCTGTCTGATTCGGACTCGGACTCTATGTGCAGCGTATCGTCAGCTGCATCGAGTAGTCAGGCTCGCTCGAAGGCGTCCTCGCCCGTTTCGGGGCCTAGTCGTTTTTGGCGCGAACGAAGCCGTAAACGAAAGAAGAAGATGGACGAGGAAGGAAGCTCTACGGACACTCCGACCTCAGTTCTGAGAAAAGGGAGAGGTCGCCCACCAACAACGGGCGACTATATCGGCTTGGCTGCAGCCAAAAAAGAACTGGCTAAAGCCCAAAGAGAAGAGATGCAAGCTAGGGCGGAGGCCGAGCTTATGGCATCGATTGCAGAGGCAAGAATGACAAGGAGCACAACACCTGCCTCCTTAGAATGGGACAGCGGTGATATAATGGAGACGCAAGACTCCGGTCCACGGTCTGCACTTGAGGTACAGAAAGCGATAGATGCCAGCCTGGGCATCATAGAAGACGTGGCGAAACGTTCCTCAAGCCTCAAGGGCACGTTTGTTCGCGCCCTGAAAGAGGCCGTTGCTACAGTGCGCGAGAGTACCGGGGTGCTGATCACACGCACCATATCCGATGAGACCAAAGCTTTGAGAGCTGAGAATGAGCGTCTTCGCAAGGAGTTAGGGGAGCTCAGCAAAAAGGTGGAGGGGATACAGAAGGCCCCACAGCTGCCAGGCAGCTTAGAGGAGTTCGAGGCAGGTCTCATGCGTAAGCTCGGGGACAAAATCAATGCTCGTATCGAAGGGCTTGAACCCCGGCTTAATCCAGCGCCACGGATCAGGCCCCCTTTATCGACTGATAAGAAGAGAGAAGGAGAAAGAATAAGTAGAGACTTACCTTCTGCTATGGCTGTTTCGGCATCGGTTACTGCGCCCGGTCTTGAAACAAAAATGAAGAAAAAGACTAAGTCAAAGAAGAAGAAAGGAAAGGCACCGGAAAGGGTTGAACATGCGGTTGAATCGGCTCCCGCGCACTCGTCCGTCCCCGTTGCCAACACTCAAAGTCGGGCCCCATCTCGTCCGCCGAACCCAGATACTCTTGAAGAGAACTGGGTCACGGTGGTAAAGAAGGGACGTCCGCTCCGAGAGAAAGAAGGACAGACACAACCAAAGAAAGCCTGTAAGACCAAGGCTTCAAGCACATCTGGCCCCAAGACATCGAAGCCGAAACTCAAAACCCCTCGGACCTCGGCTGTTGTTGTCACCCTAACCGAAGAAGCCACGAGGAAAGGGCTTACTTACAGTGGAGTGTTAAAGGAGGCAAAGGAGAAGTTGAACTTGAAAGAAGTCACTGGTTTTGAGGCTATCAGGTTTAGAAAGGCTGTGACGGGTGCAACAATTCTGCAACTCCCAGGTGCTACCAGCGACCCAAAAGCAGACAAGCTCGCGGAGAAGCTTAGGGAGTTATTTGATGGAGAGTCGGTTCGGGTGTCGCGGCCAGTTAGAGCTGTTGACATCAGAATCAGTGGACTGGATGAGTCGGTTACGTCGGACGAGGTGAGGGACGCGATCGTCAAAAAAGGAGAATGCCTTGCTTCTCAATTGAGGGTAGGGCCCATAAGACCGGATCGATCGGGGTTGTGCTCCGTCTGGGCACACGTTCCAAACACGGCTGCCAAGAAAATAATGGAAGGGCGATTCTTGGTGGGCTGGGTTTCGGCCAAGGTGTCCCTGGGGAAGCCGAGAGTACTTCGATGTTTCCGGTGCCTCGAAAGCGGTCACGTAGCTGGTCGTTGCAACTGCGAAAGCGATCGCAGCGGCCTTTGCTTCAGATGTGGCCAGCCAGGACATGTCGCGTCTGTTTGCTCAGCCAAACCGCACTGTGCGGTATGTGCAGCGGCAAATCGAGACGCTAACCATAGGGTGGGAGGTGCCAAATGCTCGGCCCCCACCAGGAGAGTCGCAAGAAAGGTCCCAGTAAAGGACACTGTCCCACCGAGCGGGACTCAAAACATGGAGATTGTGGAAACCACGGAAACCTAGTATGTCTCTGCGATTCCTACAAGCTAATCTTAACCATTGTGCCGGAGCTCAAAACCTCTTCGTGCAGACTCTGGCGCAATGGTCAATAGATATCGGAGTGATCGCGGAGCCATACTTGGTTCCAGCAAGGGACGATTGGGTCGGGAACGGCAATAATTCGGTCGCAATAGTCGTGCGCAACAACCTCGACACACCCCCAATCGGAACTGTCATTAAAAAGGCCAACTGTGTCTCCCTTAAAATCGGAAACATGGTTGTGATAGGGTGTTACTTTTCTCCGAATCGCCCGTTGGTCGACTTCGAAGCATTCTTGGAGGAGGTCAGCTCTCTTGTTAGAGGTAGCAGACCACAAAACATCGTTGTGGTCGGGGACTTCAACGCCAAATCTACGGCGTGGGGGTCTCCAGCCTCTAACATCAGAGGTGACCTTTTAGTGGAGTGGGCCGCTGAGCACGACCTTGCTCTCCTAAACCGCGGATCGGAGGAGACTTGCATCAGAATGCAGGGGGGTTCAATTGTCGACTTGTCGTTTGCGAGCCCCTCCGTGGCACGTCGCATTCGGGACTGGGAGGTGCTGACAGAGGTGGAGACCTTGTCAGATCACCGATACATACGGTTTAGTGTCGCCCCTCTGGCGGCATCGACCAGGCCCAGTCCGTCATCGGATCCTGCAGCCGTTGGCCCGAAATGGGCTATCAAGGCGTTGGACAAGGAGAAGCTGGAACTGGCCACAATCGTTAGCAGCTGGTGCCCAGTCTCCGAAACTAGAACGGTTGAAGAGGAAACAGAATGGTTTAGTCGAGAAATGGCACACATCTCAAACGTTGCCATGCCAAGAGTCAGGGCTCCGCCAAACAAAGACCAGGTCTATTGGTGGTCTCCGGAACTTGCGCGTCTTCGGGCTGCGTGTTCAGCTGCGCGTCGTCATTACACGCGTTATCGGCGACGACACAGAGGATACGGTGACCCAATGGAAGAGGAACGTATATACGCAGTATACGTCGAGGCGAAGAATATCATGCGCCAAAAGATAGCCGAGGCGAAGCAGAGAGCGTGGGAGGAATTGCTCGAGTCTCTCGAATTGGACCCCTGGGGGCGCCCCTACAAACTGGTCATGAACAGGTTGCGTCCCTGGGTTCCTCCCCTTACAGCTGCAATGGAGCCGTCACTGTTAACATCTGTTGTGTCGGCTCTATTCCCACCCCACGCCTCTGGACTGGGATCACATGTGATGAGAGAAGTGTCCGAAGATTCAGAGGTTCCGGATGTAACCGAGGCCGAACTAGAGGTTGCCGTGGAAAAGATGAAGGGCAAGAGAACTGCCCCGGGACCGGACGGAGTGCACGGAAAGGTCTGGGCCCTAGTTTTGGAGTTCGGATTGGAAGATAGATTCCGCAGGTTGCTGTCATCCTGTCTGCGGAGCGCTTGCTTCCCGGAAGCCTGGAAGAAGGGAAAGTTGGTCCTGTTGCGCAAATCAGGAAAGCCGGCGGAGTCTCCGTCTGCTTACAGGCCAATTGTTTTACTCAACGAGGCGGGTAAACTTTTCGAACGCGTCGTCGCGAACAAAATAGTCCGACACTTAACATCAGTCGGGCCGGATCTGTCGGATAATCAATTTGGTTTCCGGCAGAGACGATCCACCGTCGACGCAGTCGCTCGCCTCCGCGATATTTCGGACGAAGCCACGACTCAGGGAGGGGTGGTGTTGGCGGTGTCCTTAGACATTAAAAACGCCTTCAACTCCCTTCCTTGGGTCGCGATAATGCAGGGCCTCGAACATCACCGGGTTCCTGCGTACATAGTAAGGACGATTGCTTCATACTTACAAGAGAGAAGCATTATGTTCCCTTCTAGGGATGGATGGGGCGAACATCAAGTGCAGCGGGGGGTTCCTCAGGGGTCGGTGCTTGGCCCGCTTCTTTGGAATCTCGGGTATGACGTCGTCCTGAGAGGTGTGTTGCTGCCGGGGGTCAGTGTAATATGCTACGCTGATGACACCCTAGTCGTAACAAAAGGTCGAGACGTCAGAGACGTAATGGTAAAGGCCACGGCTGGAGTTGCACAGGTCGTGGCAAAAATTAGAAGACTAGGTCTCGAGGTGGCTTTGGAGAAATCCGAGGCCATCCTGTTTCACGGCCCAAGAAGAGCCCCATCATCTGGCTCTCAAATAGTCGTCGGCGGAGTTTCCATCGGAGTCGGGACGACTCTCAAATACTTGGGCCTCGTACTAGACTCCCGGTGGAACTTCAGATCCCACTTCATGGCGTTAGCACCAAAACTTACGGCTACAGCGGCGGCTTTAAGCAGACTCATGCCCAACATCGGCGGGCCGAAATCGAGTCACCGCAAGCTATTCGCCGGAGTTATCAGATCCCAAGCCCTATATGGTGCGCCAATATGGGCTGGTGACCTGGATAACGCCAATAAGGCAATACTTAGGCGATCGCAGCGGTCCGTAGCTATCAGAGTAGCACGGGCCTATCGAACCACATCTTTCGACGCGGTGTGCCTATTAGCAACAACGCCGCCATGGTACGTCGAAGCTAAAGTGTTGGCGGACTTCTACTGGAAAAGGGACAGATGCAGAAGGTCGGGAGTGGAACCGACTTACGAACAGGTGGAGGCATGGCGCAAACAAAGCCGCGAGGCCATAGCGAGATTGTGGCAAGAAGACCTAGCCAATGCCAAATTTGGAAAATGGACGCTGCAGGCTATACTGCCGGTCGTCCAACAATGGATTGACAGGCAATGGGGGACACTGTCTTATCATCTGACCCAGGGTCTCACCGGGCACGGTTGCTTCGGCAGCTACCTTCACAAAGTTGCCCGAAGAGAACCCACCCCCATCTGCCATCACTGCGGGTGTCTTAATGATACCCCGCAGCACACAATATTTGACTGCTCAGCATGGGACTCCCAGCGGGGAACCATGTTGAGAATAACCGGACTAGACAGACCAAGACGTAACCCCCTTAGTTTGCAGGACCTGGTTCAGAGTATGGTCTCCGAAGAATCCAAGTGGAAAGCTGTCCAGGCGTTCTGCGAGGAGGTACTCAAGGCCAAGGAGGATACTGAGCGGGCCCGGGAAATAGAACCGGGGGCTACGCTCCAGAGAAGAAGAAGAACAGGGAGGCGCAGACGCAACTATGCGAATGCGCCGTAAGTACTTGTAAATATAATAAATTAGTTAGATTTAAATGTACAATTTTCTTTTGTTTGTACATTTTGTAAATATATTCGTAGTAAGTAGGTCAAGAAGGTGAGCTGCGCGCTATGCGCTGCGGCAAAGCACTTGGCAAAAAGGGGGTCTGGACAAGGTTTCAACTGATCGCCAACCCCTTGCCAAACAGTGCGTCGATGGGCTCTTGGATGGTTTAGTGGGTAGTGGCCGACTCGCGGTTGACCCCCACACTCCCCCTGCCATTGCACTGCCCGGCGGGGGGGTCGGTAAAGACTCGATTCCTCCAAGTAAAAAAAAAAAAAAAAAAAAAAAAAAAAAAAAGGTTAGGTTAGGTTAGGTTAGGTTAGGTTAGGTTAGGTTAGGTTAGGTTAGGTTAGGTTAGGTTAGGTTAGGTTAGGTTCCCCTCCCTTCCACTGCACTTTGAGTATCTCGTGCAGCCCCAGGGCTTGTCGTGCCGGAAGGGCCCGGCCATCTGAGTTAGGGTGGTATCGGCTATGGCAAAGTTTGTTAACTTTGTGATGACCGGTGCGTATCCTGAATACTCGGTGGTCGCTAACTGGGAGGCGGGCGATACTCTGCAATATTGTATATTGCTCTGTATGGCTTGCTACATCTTCGGCGTTCCTTGCCAACCGCGTTTTTCGTGGTGGGTGGGGAAGACGAAGTTTTGTTTATCGCGGTCCTTCAGACCGCGATGCGCAGTGAAGCGCGAGGAAGGGCGTCCTATGGCGCGGGCCCGGGGCGCTTTTCGCCCTGGGTCGTGTGTGCGAGTACATGGCGCGGCGGGCCCTCGACGGCAAATGATACGTCTACGCTGTCAGGGTCGGACCGTTTCACGTCTCCCGTCGGCGCCATGCACACAGCGGCGGCGGGCCGGGAATGGCTCATAGCCTCCGGTTAGGGGGTGTTACCCCCCGTCGTCGCACCGAGAAGTCGGCTTTAACGCCCACAAGTCGGCTCAGCCGACGAAGAGGATGGCCTACTGCGGGACGGGAGCCTGAACCTTCAACAGGACAGGAGCCTGGACTGGCAGCGGGACTCGACCCCTGGACATAGCTTCGGGACCGGTCGAGCAAGGAGGAAGAGCTGGGTAAGTCATTGCACAGATTATTTTATTTTTGTAAATATTATTGTAGAAGAGGGTGCTTCTCACCTATGTATATATTTTATTTCTCTTGTAAATATTTTTATATAGTGTTAGGCGGAGATCGGTTCTCTGCCGCGTTAGGCGGTCTAGAACCGAGAGCGGTGCTTCGGCACGGAGGATGGCGGACTAGTTGTCCGCGAGGTGCGCTGACATAGGCAGCGCACCCCCAATCCTAAGTCTGTGGTGCCTGGCGAGGGGATGAATGGCTGGTGGGAGTCCAGCCCCTAAGGCACCAAACAAAAATCAAATATGGAGGATTCTACGTTAAATAAAACTACTCCAGGTGGGTCAAATCCCACCCGCCGTACTGGATCCAGCAATGGTGAAGGTGCCGCGGTTGAGCCGGAACGTATTCTGGAGGCCGGCAACCCCCATAGTAGTAGAGGAAGGAAGGTGATGGATGCAAGAGTGGTGTTGGAGCGTTTATGCGCTTCACCAAGTCCCTCTGTCGCGGCCGCCGCTCGATCTTATGCGGCCATAGAGGAGGAGTTTGAAGGGCTCTCGGACTCGTCCGTTGAGTCCATGGACACGGTGTCGAGTGGTGACACTGCAAGGAAGAGGAGCTTCCGCGGACCGTGGTCGGCGCGAAAGCGAAGTCGGTCTGGTGCTTCCAGTGGGAGTGGAAGCGAGGCGCCAGAACCGTCAAAGCCGAGAGGGAGAGGTCGCCCACCGACAACCGGCGAGTACGTCGGACTGGCAGCGGC